CAAGGGTTATACAGAGCTGGAAGAGGATAATCTACTAATAAAATGACTAGTAGAAGTTGTCTAAGGACTGCTCTTCTAAAACAACACAATCAGAAAGAGCTCTGTTGTATTGAGTACTGATAAGGCACCAGAGAAATATAACTTCACACGTAATTTTAACTTCAAAAGCACACTTTGTATTACTATCAACACTGCTATAGTGTTATTCCCAATTGATAACTGAAAAAAAATAAGCAATATCTGATTGATATTATTCCCAATAAGTCTTTATGACTATAAAACTAAAGTAAATTTCTCTTTATAACTGTAATAAAGGGCGTATTTAAGTGAACAGGTACTATTAAAATAAGTTTATGATGATAAACAAAATAATAATAGCGTAAATGATAAAGAAAAAAAAGGGGAACAACAGTCCCAAAACCCTCTCAAAGTATATATAACATTGTACTAGAACTTTTACAATGGTCAACAGCCTCAAAACCAATCAAATCCGCCCAAAATTCCCTAAAAACCCTATGATGACGCAATGTAATGGTTTTGTTACTAATAAATGATGTAATTTTCACAGCTAAAAGTGATCAATGACGCAATAATATGATGTACAGCACTTCTTATGATGAATACAGGTGATTTTTTCCTTGTAAACTAGCTGAAAACCAATTTTTGAGATTACGAATTTTTTCAGATGTGCTCCAATTTTGGATTACTAAAGTGCATCTTGTAGTCCACGTGTTACTGATCATTTCTGACACCTACATGACCTACTTCTGATGAGTGATGAGTAAGATATTGAGTTGTGAAGTTAAGGTTTTTAGTGTTACATATGACTTGTGACTGTAAATTCGAGATTCACACCAATTCTTTATTTGCCTTATAACTTTTTACACACACCTCCGTTACTAATGATTTAAAGTTTGTACATTATGTAATCCACTCTTCTGCGTTGAATGAGCCATCTACCAACCTATTCTGACGTCATTTGACATATGTAATTAGCTGAAAACCTCCATTTTCCACGAATTTCACCCATTTTCTTCACTTTTCACAGCTACTACTAAGCCTTTCTTGCTCATGTAATATTACATCATCATCTATAGCCTTAAAAATCCCGGAAAATCCTCTTGGCAACCTTAAATTCCATCACTACCACTATTACACAACCAAACTACACGTGTACCTCTTGTTTACCAACTTCGAAAAAGTGCTTTTTTCCTAATAACTTCTGTTTCTACTTATCAACCTTGAAGATTAAAATTGTCATAGTATCATATAATGTTGTTCTTTCATATTCTAACCTCATAATACCCATAACTTTATTTTTACTAACCTAAAAACCATTTTCCAACCTTTATACCTATAATTTCGAATTTTTCTTATGTTTTTCTTTCTTTCTTTTTGTAATAAATTTGTAAGTAAACTATAATGATCTTAATATATAATGTGAAATAAAATGATGTAATGTTGACCTAATGACCAATACATAAGCCTACAAGAGCTTCAATTGATCAAAAACCTCCATTTCGAATTTTCTTTCCTGCTGAATCCTGCTAATAAACTGGTAAACTGGTAATTGTGAATTTTTTAATTGATCCCATAAATTGATCACCACAGTGGTCAGACAGGCAAATGGCCCCATATGATATTATGTTGAAGTCATTTTGAAATCTTTCTGAATCTTTCATGAATCTTTCATGGAGTCAGTGGTAGGCTCTGGCCTGCCAGAGCCTAGTAAATGGGGACTGTGATTCTGGGCCTCTCATTTTCAGGGAACTCTCTCGTCCGGGCAGTTGTCCTACACCCTCACCTAGATTCACATCAGACCGTTTCATGGAATTCATTTCAATGCAGGGGAAAAAAACAATTGTTTCTCTTATTCAGAACTTGTCTTCTCTACCCACTCATCATCTATCTTAACTACAGAAGAGACAAACCGTCAAACAACATCGACCACAGTCATAACGTTCCCCAGCATATCAGCATTCCCCCAAAACACCCAAACCACAGAATCAACACCACACCAACCACTGTCAGTATCTCTCCTCTGAAACCAAAAACTTCTATCAAAGCTTACCGATCTGCTTTCCCATCTGCCTTCCTATATTTCTTCCCCCCTTTCCCTGAACCAGATGCTTGGCCGCTCGCATGCTGTTGTCCTAAAGCTACCCAGTCTTTCCCAGCATCCCTTTTCTGCAAATGACCTTGCGGTTTCACCGGCGTCGTCACCTGAGATTTCGAATAATGACCCCGATTACCACCCCTTTGTCCTCTTCCTTTCCAGCCACCCCTATTGTCCGAAATTGCTTTTGAAAGATGAGCTGTCGTCGGATCCGGCTCCTGACCAGTCTTGAACACCCAACCGTATTTTGGCTGACCTAGCGCATAAGGGTTCCCTTCATATTTCAGGTCACCCGCCATTTGAGCCTCCCATCTCGCATCATCCTCTGCTTCCTTCTGAAGTCCATCTGGCAATTCCACCTCTTCCACCTTCCTCCTTTTCTTACCTTCCTTGGATTTCTCGTAAGTTTCCTCAGTCCTCACTCTAAAAGTCAATGCTCTCATCGCCAAATGATACCTCAACCCGACCATCCAACACTTATGCCTCCTTGCTATCTTATTCACAATCTCTTTATGTCTCACCACATACTCAGTGTATTCCTTGAACTTATACCGCTCTAGCGCATATCAATACTCCAGATCACAAGCTAAACCAAATTCTCCATAAGTCATGTGACATTCTAATTCTTCTCTCAAGTGTAAGTGATGGCTGTCCCATTTATACCTTCCTCATTTCGATTTACTTGTCGATTTGTATTTGTCAATATAAGACGCCCTGAATACTGACAGAGGCACATAATACTTCATTCTCCTGAAGTTCTTCTCCCATTGAGGTGGAAGTTCAGGAAGATTGTAGGCCGCTGCCGGCTTGAAAGAGAAGACTATCGGTCTTTCACGCTTTGTTCGACCAGATTTTGACAAGCTAGAATCCAAGTCTGAGCTTTCCAAAGAAGAATTGTCCGATTTTGATCTCTTAGCACCTTGCTCCTCCACCTCCTTCTTCAAGTCTTTCTCTTCCCCCTACAACAAGGACGACGATGAATCCAAACCCGATGAAGATGATCGGCTCCTTCTTCCTTTTGCCTTCTTCTTCTTCAATCTTGATTTTGACCTCTTCTCCTTCCTGTCCTTTCCATCCCTCTTCTTCCCTTCCCCCTCCTTCCTCTTAAGTTTCATCTCTTCTTTCAACTCTGCAAAATCCTCATCATCTCCAAATTCTATCACATCGGCTAAGCGATCTATGAGTGGTCTACCATCTGGTTTGCCTTTTCTCTCCTTCCTCTTATTTGCTTTGACCTCAATCGGACCTACAGAACCAACACCCCCCCCAATCCAAACAAACCATCAACCTGTCAATTAAGAACTCCATCATCTTCTCTATCTTTCCAAACAGCTTCAACAATACTATGGAGCTTAACCCAGTTATGGTGCTGATTCTCATCTCTAATAGAATCACCCCCTCCTAGTCACTTCCCTTCAGGACAACCATACTGGAGCGCTAAGCTGCTCACACTCTTTCCAGGGCAAGTCCCCCCCTTCAAACCCTCTTAGATAGATTACTCACGTTGATCCTTTTCTATTCACATTCTTTAACCAACCGTCATCACTTCCTGATTCCTCTGATGATGCCACCTTCCTCCCCTTTCCCTTCCCACTCTTCTTCTTCTTATCTTTCCTCTACTTTTGAATCTCCATCTGAATTTCCTCTTTTGTCAATTCTTCACTTGATGATGATTTGCTAATAGGGGCTCTCAAACCTGACCCGGTTTTCAAAAACCCAGTTGACCCAGTTGACTTTTTGGCAGTAACTTTGTATATAAATTTGACATTTATTGACAGCTCCCAGCCAAAAAGTCAACTGGGTCAACTGGGTTTTTTGAAACTGGGTCAGGTTTGAGAGCCCCTAATATTCTCTTTTGACTCTCCCTCTGCTCCTCCTTCTACCCCATCTTTCACCTGATTCTCTACACCATCACCTCTTGGTACTTCCACCCCACTCTTATCATTCTCCCCAGTCTGCGTAGGATTATCTCCTTCCGTTAAATTAGAGGTTGATTGAATTCCTCCAGGTGCTCTTGACTCCATTCCACGCCTCCTGTTTTCCGCGAGTTCCGACTCTTTCAATTCTTGAGCTTTCTTCTTATCCTCCGCTTGCTTCATGGCTTGGATCATACTCTCAGACTTGTATTCTTTATTAGTAATTGATTTCTTTTTAAGTTGCCTCCACATTCAGCGTTTCTCCGGTATAAGAATTCTCTAAGCTAGTCATTTAATTTTGTTGAGTATGTTCCGGAACGTTATTTTGTGTACTGATATTAAACTCCAACTCTTGCAATTATTCTTGTGATTATTTTTCGAAAAAGATTCTGAGATCAAGAATGAGACTTGCAAAACTCTGAGTGCAGGATAGGGAGAGAGGATGTGGTCGAGTAGAGAGATAAAAACTCTATCTCTCTTCCTGTACATCCTCGTGCTCTACCCTTCTTGTGACAGGTGCTGTCCCACCTTTCACGAGTGAGCCCGGTCCTATCCGCCCTCCCAGTTTTCACCCGCAGATAAGACATGGACTAATGTGTACCTCCGCAAGCTCTGGGAACACTTTTAAAGTTATAATCTACATAAGATTGAAAATGAAGTTAATATGCTATATATAAAAATTAAAAACAAATCATTCCCGCCTAAAGAACAAAATTAGAAAAAAAAATCATAATTTGAAGTGAAATACATTCTAAAATCCAACATGATCTTATTTTGTTCCTTATCAGGTTTCATTTATAATTGAAATACTTCAATCATCAAGATTAGATATGGTACTTCAAAATACCCAAAACATGAACCACAAAAGGTTTTCCAAGATTCCAAAGAAAAAAAACATTAGAATAAGAAAAAAAAAGTTTCAATTCCAAGTTGTGTTTAAATGAAAATTAAGGGGAAAAAGGTTCAAATCAAATCTTTTTCAAAGCTTTTAACATTTCATCAAACTGATCATTCTTGATAATCTTGATCCATTCACATGACCCAAACCCATACCCAAACCCTTTAAGAATCTGACTTAATCTCATCATACCAATCTGCATCGAAACCCGTCCACCAAAGAAAAATCACCCAATCAATAAAGATGATCTTTCTTAAACTCATCAAAAAAAATCATCATCACTTACTGAATCGCCTCCTAGGTTTCTAAACCTACTTTGTCCATTGATGTTAGTCACTTGGACCCCAAGAACTTCAACCCAAGCTTTCTTCAAAACGTTTTCCATCTCGATCTTTTCTGTTGGATCGGAATCGCTTAAACCTAATCCGATCTCTTCAACTTTGACTTTCTTCAATCGATCCAAACTGTTTAAAATCTCATCCAATAATTTCTTGGGATTCATTAAAAACTTTTCATCATAATAAATCTCAATCTCAAACGAATCCATGACTTCATTCGGACTAATCTCAATACTGATTCCAAAGATACTTCCCATCCTCACTTTCATAGGTTTATACAAAATCCCAACCTGATAAGTAAACAAAACTTTACACAATCCTTCAACCATCAAACTTTCTTTCACATCAGTTTGATCCATCGATTTCAATTTCGATTCATGTTCAAGTTCTTCTTGAATCATTTCTTCAATCGGTTTATCTTCATAACATTGGATTCTACTCGGTAAAACTTTCACACAACATCCTCTCACTTCTTCTGCTATCGATCTACCATTCAAGCCGATCTCTCTACCACTCCTAACGATTCCCATGATCAGATCTTGAGGTGCTTGATGATCTCCCGTCCATTGAAAGATTCCAATGGCTGTCGCTATTCTTGTAGCGATGGCTGGAGTAAATGAATATGATTTAGAAAGTTGTAGTAAGCTTTGGTTTGGATCATACCAAGTCGTTGAGATATGTTGACTTGTCCTTAAAGCTTCGGTAGGTTTGGTTGGCCATGTGATCGGGTTCAATTGATCCAAATACATTTCCCAATACTTCTTAGCTTCTAAAGTGGTGCGTTGATTGATCGAAGCTTTTACAAATTCTCCATAAGGTGTTACCATCAATGGTACCTGATCTGTTGCTTTCAGATGACAACGTTGGTACAGCTCATCAAAGAGTAAATCAAGTGTCCAACCATCACTAATAGAATGATGCATTGAGAAACTCAATTTGATCGAATTGTTTTTCTTGGAATGAAATAATTTGATTTCTACATTCTCATCTCCCCATTGATAATTGGAATGAGAATCAAGTTGAGATTTTAATAGAGTTTCTATAGATCGATTCGATTCTTCTTCGTCTTCATCTTCAATCACTTCGATTTCCTGCATCACATAATCTTGAAAACTTGGTTTCATAATACATTGAATAATCGAAAACTGAGGATGTAAATAAAATCTAGTACGAAACATGGTGTGAAACTTAATCATTTCAATCAATGCGATTCGAAGTGATTGTAAATCATAATCACTTAGATCATAAATAGCTTGTGCGAAATATAAATCAGTTCCTATACTTGAACTCAAAATCGAATTCTGTGCAGGCGAAGTAGGTAAAAGATCTTCGATTTCATTGGATGAAATCGAATAAGATTCATTCAAAAATCCCATCCAATCCTCTTTACGTCTTGAATCCAAAAGATCAAACTCTTTATAAACTTCTCCTACTTGATTCTCCACTTGGCTTTCAAGTTTCAAAACATCAATGAATGACTGAAAGTTTAATGAGTTCGGATTGGAAAATGATGAATAATTGATCAGATATCCTTCTTTACGAATCTTTCCAATCAATTTCATTAAACTTATTGAATCTCCACCTAATCTGATAAAATCATCAGTTGATTTAAATTGATATTCTTTTGGTAAACCAAGTGATGATTTCCAAGCTTCTGATACCAATTCTTCAACTGAGTTAGGATTCGAATTCGAATTACAATCCAGATGTTGATTCAGATGCTGATTTGGAATCAATTGGTTTTGTTGGGTTTGAAAATCTACATATAATTGTTTTAGAATCCCTCGATCAGTTTTACCTGAGATTTGTAATGGGATTCGATTGATGATGTAAAATTGACGAGGAATCATTGAACTTGAAAGTTCTTTCATTAATTCTTGCTTAATTTCGTTTATTAAATTTTCAAACTGCGTCGAATTAATTGGCGTTAAGATTTCAATCCGATCATTTTTTCCTGAGATTTGATAAATTTCACTTGGAAAAGTGTTGATCGGACTAGAAGAATTGAATTTAAGAAATCCAACTAAACCTAAGTTCGGTTTAGGTTGAATCACCACCATAGATCGAAGTTGATGAGGTTGAGTAAGATGAAGTTGATTAAGTTTGGATTCTACTTCACTTAATTCGATCCTCACACCTGAAACTTTGACTTGAGAATCTTTACGACCCAAGAATTGAATAGAGCCATAACCTTCTGTACCATCTGTTAGATACCTTCCAAGATCGCCAGTTCTGTAAATCCTTTGAAGTCTTGGATTCGTTTCTTGGGTTTGGTTTAAAGATGAAGTTAGATCGAGTTCAATAAACACCCTCGAATTCAAATTCGAATCAAGATATCCAGGCGAAACTTGATTTCCACCAACACAAATCTCACCCACCTCACCAAAAGGAACAACTTTTAAATCTTCATCTAAGATATAAATTTCATTCGAACCGGTTGGGATTCCAATATCATCTAAACTTGAAGACTTCAACCTTTGATAATCATTTGAATCCATAAAAGATGAAATCACACCCACGGTAGTCTCAGTAGGACCATAATCAACACATACACTTATACCACGTGAAAGAAAAGCTTTCTTAAGTGAAGCTGGTACATATTCAGAACCAGTGTTGAGTTGTTTAACTTTAAACCCTGCTTTAGACCAAATCTGTTGGGTTTCTTGAATTGATAAAGTTTCAGTTTCAGTGAATAATGAATGAGATAATAAAAGATTCACCACTGATGGTGTCAAATCTATGATATCACATGATTGGGAGATGATAGCTTGAATCAGATCAGTTTGAAGTGAATCAGTTGTAGTCATACAAACTGTTGCACCATGCTATTTGTAAAAAAAACATGAATGATCAATTAAAGATTATGAAGAAATGAAAGAAGGAAAGATCAAATCTGAGACTAACCAAAAGTGTATCCCAAATACTCATCACATGTACATCAAATGAATTAGAAGCGAATTGTAAAACTTTAGATTGAGGAATTAATTTTCTGCCAAATCTGTTTTGATAATTTTCAAAGAATTGTGATAAGTTGAAATGTGAGATTTGAATCAACTTAGGTATTCCAGTTGTACCTGAAGTTGAAATATAATAAGCAATTGAATTTAATGAAAGATTGTATAAATTAGATTTTATGAATGAAAGTTGATCTTGGATTTGGAAGAATTGATCTAGTTCATGATGATCATCATCTTGTATTAAATAGGTATCATTGTTGATTAGGCTTCTATGATTGAAAATCGATGCTGTTCCACTTATTTCAGGTAAGACAGAATGATGAAAATAATCAGTTAAATCCAAAGTATGATAATCAGATTGATGAATCAGATTATCATGATGAGAATGATGTTCTTGTAAATCGAAATGTAATAATAATGAAATTTTAGATTGATTTAAGATTGATTTTAATCTTTGATTAGGTTGATTTGGATCTAGATTAAAATAAATTGAATTGGTCATCAAGATAGCTAATAAAGTGATTGGTATAATAGGATGTTTTGGTATTAAGATCCCTATAACGTGTTGTGGTGGTTGGTTTTGAATTAAATTCAACTGTTGTTTGATCAATTTGGATACTTTAAAAGCTTGTTTGGTCAATTGATAAAATGAAATCGATAAGGATGGTAAAGAGGATGATGGATTTGGATCAAACCAATTGATGACCTCAAGATCAGGATGTTGAATTGCGACATCCAAGATCCGAATAGGCAATGTTTGATGATGAGATTGATCGGAAACTGTAGTTGATGATTTATCAGTTCTGTTTGATATTGATGATGGGATAGAACAGAATTGATTGAATTTAACTTGAATATTATCAAGTATCAAGTTTAACGAGATTGGTAAATGAATCAATGAAGCTTGATCATCGAATTGGGGTCGATTTGTGAGTTGGATTTCAATCAAATGTGAAATGATGATTAAATTTAAATTTCCAGTATCAACAAAGATGGAAAAATGTTGAAAGTTTAAATGAGAAACCATCTCGGCTTGTTCTAAATTCTTCAGCATCAATCTTATCTCATTTACAATTTGTTCTTCATCATCTTTCAAATCGACCTTGAATTGATATCTTTGATTCTTTCTATTCAGAATCTCAATCTCTTCTATCATTTCTTGGTCTTCGGTTGTTGGTTCGTTTACCGATGCCTCGGATTCTTGTGATCTGAAGGTTTGATTTGATTTCAACAATGTTTTGAATGATGGGTTTTGTTTTAATTCCTTTAGACACATTAAGATTGATAATATCAAACTTTGATTGAAGTTTTCAATCTGATTCACACTCCAATTTGATTGGGTGTTATCATTCGATGAAAGTTGAATTGAACTTGATTTCAACATCTTTGGTAATGAAAGCGATGTGAAGTTTCAATCCAAATGAATTGGATGATAGCGATGAGTTGAATGATATTTAAGGAATTGAATCGTCTTAAAATCAAGCTCAAAATGGTAATGAAGTTCAAGTTGAGAAAGAATTCGAACTTGATTGATGAATTCATGTCAAACCCACCGGATTGACCCGAGAGTTTCTTGGATCAATCGTTTCATCTTATGATCATTGAGATGGATTTCAAGATCTAGTAGAATAGTTTCATCCATCAACTTCATCGTTCACTGGTCATTGATCCTTAAACTTTCATGTCGTTTGACTCGGTCATTTCTCGGATCAAACGTTTCATTTATCGACATTGAACGTTCGTTTCATTGAGATACACCGTGGATTGACCCATCGGAACCGATCATTTAACTGCCACAAAACGTTGCTTTGACATTACACGTTCATGAAATTGATATCATTCATCAATTCCAAAAGATCATTTCTGATATTTTTATTCTAATGTATATCTTGGTTTCCAATGATCATGAAGACGAGAGAATGAATGATAAAGTTGAGAATCAAGTTCATGAAGTGATGAAAACGAAAAAAAAACAAAGCAAGATTGAGAAAGCAGTCATGTGAATTATTGAATATGCGACAGTCGCCTAACCTAACTAAGTCCCTCTCAGCGAGCGAGGCTGAGGGACTTAGTTAGGCTTAAGCTTTGCAAACTCACTGTCTTCATGGTTTTTGACCTGTAATAGGGGTTTCGGACATGGCAAAATCAAATTCGCTATGGATCTCCTTGCCATGAGGTGTGCCCACCAGACATCTTACTCTCACTTCTCCTATTTCCCACTTGATTCAGACCTCCACATCCTCTATCATGGTTGATACATAATCTATAAAACATCAAGATCACGCAACTCATGAAGTCTTCAAAGCGATATCTATCATGCTACATACCACGAGAAAATCCTTCATTTTCCTTATTCTGGTTGGTTGGATCAGGCAAATAATAAGTATTTCTTGAATTAGTGGGTAATACATCTCATAAGGTCCCTTTGAGTACCCATAGAACTTTAGCAAGAGAGTTTTGTACAGATGTAACGGTAGAGTAAAAAATACCTTTGAACATGCTACAATCGAGACTGATGAGACTTGTGATAGTAGAAAAATGTTGTTCGAACCAATTCACAATTTTCTTGATTTTTATTAAATTTACTTATCATTTCAAAACGAATTGCTCAAACCAACGATTTTGAAAATGATGATGATGATGATCAAAATCGAACTTAATCTCAAATTTCCTATGAATTTTAATCCAACATGTTTGTATGAAAGACTTTGAATTTTCTTTCAAGCTCAATGCAAGGAATGTCAAATTACGAATAGTTGAGCATGTATGTAAAATGCAAGACAAATCACGAAATCGAAAAGGAGATGTGTATGTGTGTGTGTGTGTGTGTGATTGACAAGAAATGATCTTTAAGGTGAAAAGAACATTAAAGTTAATGGTGGTATGCTTGCTTGGTTTAGAGTCAAAAAGACGTTTGAAAGTTGAAAATCCGAAAAATCAAGATTTCCCAAAAAAAAACACACACACACAAAAGTATACATACATGGGGAAAGCGGTATGGAACGGAAAACCCATGAGCTGCAATTCTGAAAGACAGGTTTTGAAGTTTGTACAAACTTTGAATTGATCAAGACTGTCAATACAGAAATCGAAAGATCAGTAAAGGGGAGGGGAAAGGAAGGGGCACATGAAGGTTGAATTGAATTGGTAGGTAAGTGAGTGAATGAAATGGTAGGGGTAAGGTAAAGGGGAAAGATATCGAAAGGTCGCTTGCAGATTCTTAATGCATTACATAGATTGGGTCTGAGAGAAGCGCGTGCCAAGGAAATGGACATCTGTAGATCTTTGAGCATTTTTGTACAATGAATCGGTAGAAGACTGTGTGTTGTGGTTTTTGAAGATTGGCTGAGAATCAGATCCGGTTCATGATGTGTTGGCAGCTGATGGTGATGGTGATGGCAAAGTGGATCTTGAAGAGTATAAATTCACTTGAGATCTCAACTCGATTTCTCTTTTCTCTCTTCTCATCATTCTCCATCAAGTCTAACTCTCAGTCTTGCTTCACATCTTCAAATCGTCTACAATCTTGCTAGATTCCCACTTCAAATTCAATCCTCACTCACCCATCTGATCTTAAAATCTCTTTTAAAACACACTTGATATCCTTTGTTGATCTAGACCGTTCGAGGGTTTACTCTTATCTGATCATTAACCCCAGATTACCGTTCTTATTCCCGTTGGGATACTCAACCACACAGTTTTTATTTTTTGTCGGCACCCAATCTGTTTATTGTTTAACACTCTCAGTTCGCGCGTTTGAGTTTGAAGTACAATTGAGTTTATAAGAGACAGAGAGAGAGACAGACAGACCCAATAATCGATCTCCTTGTTTTTTCAATCCTTTCTGCAAAATCCGATTTCTGATCAGGAGTACGTCCCCAAACCGTTTTTTTATCAAATCTAGATTCAAGATCTCAAAGCACTCAACTTCTATCGGTTGATTGGCTTACTACAGACTACTTGTGTAGAAAAAAAACATCGGTTTTATCGATATATAACAACTTATTCCAAGTCGTCTTCAACTTCAACCTTACATCCATATCCTCATCTTCATCTTCATCAGTATCATTAACTCGAGTTCCATTATTAGCTTTAAAATCTTATCAATTCATTTATCTTACAATCATCAAAAGTAAACATGAATTTCTCCGTGATGAATTTACACTCGGTTTCTTTAGTATTGATGATTTTATTAGCTATGAATGATTTGATGGCTAGTCCGGTTCCAACTGAAGTTAGTAGATTTTTGATCTTCAGTTTCCATCTCTTTGAAATCTCTTTTGGTTCTCATTTTTTTTTCCGACACAGTATACCCAATCGACTCAATCAGATGCTGTTTCAGGATGTTATGTGAGTGACTTCTTGATCTCAAGATCATCATCAGATCATCTCAAGCTATCTTTTTCCGAAAGGAATTGAATCTATGAATCTAATATGATCTTCTTTTTTCCTGAAAACCAGAGCCCCGTTCCTCAAAAAGAGAAACATCATCATCAATACTCTGCTCCGATTTCGTATGGATCTGATCAAGGTTCAAACAGTAGTGATTACACTGACGAGGTAGAAAATTCGGCTAGTAAAATTAATGGGATTACTTTGGATTCCACTGTAAGCTTATCACCTAGATTTCTCATCCCGATACTTCTTTGGTTGGTTTGAAGTGAGTATCTAACTCAACTTTCAACACTTTTTTTTGTAATATAGCTCGAGTTGGATTCAAACATTGTAAGTTTTTTTTTCTCTTGGGCATATTTTGAAAGATCTTTTTACAATCTAACATTTCTTTACGGTTCAAATTTGGTTTAAAGAAACAGAAATTAACCAAAGAGAAATACGCTCGACCTCCACCTTACAAACGTAGTTTAGTTGAATCTTCAAAACTTGAGAAGTCAAGATTGATTTAAAAAGTTTCTATAAAAGAAAACAAAAGTATTCATTTAGTTTTATGATCCTCAAAGCAATTATTAACCTTTATAAATTATATTAATTACCAAAACCAGAAAAAAAAACTAATCAAATTACTCATCATTTTATAATTTTCCTCTTACCATCTTTCTGATTGTGTTTATTTCCCTTTTTCATTTTTGAGATTTAATGAAATCTTGGTTTCCTGATTATAATTTTCTTGAACTTGTTTTTATTGATCTTGTTTTGTGCTTTATTTTAATTTTGTCTGTGCTTCAACTTTTTTATTTTGTTATATTTTAATCATTTGATCTTTTGTAAATCTTTGATTCATTTGTTTGTTTTGTTTTTCAAAATAAGTCAAGTCAAAAGAAGATCAAAAAGTTCAAAAGTCAGTAAAAAAAACCCCAATTTGTTCTCAAAACTTTGTTTTCATCTTTTATTTCAACATCAATCCAATTATCTTCTCTTATCAATCCATTCATCATCAATTGTTGTTTTTTGTTTTCTTCTTCTTCATAAAAAAAACTGATCATCATTCAACACGTTTATTAAACCTTGTGAGGTGAGAAGAGTTGGGTCAAGAATTACATTCTTGAGTGTGATATGAATTTGATTTACAAGCTTTGAAGAGGTCGGAAACTTGACGAGTTTGGAGTGTTGGATTTACTATACTTGAAATATAAAGATGTGTTTGAGTGGTCAAGTTTGGATTTTTTCCAGAGTAGGATCATCATGATGTTTCTTAGGGTGTGGATTTCTTGATCGCATGCTGTAGTGGTACATCAGGAGGACTATGTAGCTGTCCCGCCGCACGGAAGCGGTGCGACACCGGAGCCGCGCACTCCGCCCACGCTACGGACCTAGGAGAAAAGCCGCGGTTAGCGCTCCGCCTTCGCTTTCCCTTCGGAGATTTGTGTGCAGTGGGGCGTAGATCTAGCGGAGCGTTATTAAGACGTCGTCGCGCTCCGGCTCCGATGGATCAGGCAGGTGTTGTAAAGAACTTATCATGAGTCCTCACCTAAACTTTGTTTAGCAAACGGTACGGGTTGAGGGAATTGAGAATCACTATTTAAGGGTACAATTATAAGATTGAAAGAAAACAGACTCATAGTGAAGGAAATGTAGGTTGGCTCAGCTGCATAAGGCCAAAAGGATGTAATCATAGATCAGTCTGTAGATCCCCTTGAGGAGTCAGTATACTGCCAGATGTGTTGAGATGAGAAAGAACAAGTGAGTATGTATACTGCTTATGATTGTAGTATTTTCCAGATGACTTTTTCCAGAACACCAGAAGCCTCCTGGTGTTCTGGAAAACAAACAGTATTGGTTATTCAAAGCTTCAGAACACCATAAGGTCAGCACACACCCAAAAAGAAAACTTCTGGTGTTCTGGGGAAACCCTTCTGGAAATTTTCAGAACCAAATGTGTATACCTGTTGATGTTATAGAAAAAACAGTAATCATCTATCCTGCCCACTGCAAGGACTGGACATGGGGGGTGGGGAAGAACAAGTGGGTGAGATTATTGTCACACTAGTTTAGGTATGTAGCAGAGGTTTTTTTAGAAGCAGAGCAAGAGCTGCATGAGCTTGAGTTGAAACAACCTTGGGAGTTCTGGGATCATTGGAGGAAGTCCCAATGCATATAGCAACTGAGGTGGAAGCAGCACACTGTTGGTGCTGAAGTGCACAGACTAGGTCAATATGTGTGGATCTGCACACAAGATAACCTCAAAAAAGGAGGGCACACCTGTGTTTGCTTATGGTTGCACTGGTAGAATGAGAGCTCAGGATCATTTGTACATGTGAGCTTCTTTCTTCAAACAAGCTCATAATGCCTTCAAAGCATACAGCCTGGTCAAAATCACATAATCAACCATGTAAGGACTTTCTGGTCTTGGATCTCTGCAGCAACTACTCTCAATTTCACAAGGCATAGTACACAAACTGCTCAATAGTCTTTGAAAGTGGGGAAAGTGTGTAGCTCTTCAAAAACCCAAATAATTTAGAAAATCACATCAACCCTGAAGCCAAGTCAGTCATGTTCTAATCAGTTCACATTACATCCTACTACAAGGAGGTGAGCAAGTAGGTGAGTGGAAAATCTCCTTTATGGATTTCACTCTTATGGATTTTTTTTTGAGTAGAGTCTAAGCCTACTCAGGAATGTCCTACCACTAAGGAGTCTAGCCTTTTCCTAGGACCAGCAAACTTCTTTGTGTGGTCAGTCCCAGAGGTGGTGAATCTTGTATGGGAAATTTGCTTTACCATAACAATTTCATAGCCTCTGTAGAGTCATTTGTTGATGCATCTCCTGGGCAGTCCTAGCATGTTCCTAGACTTATCTTCGTTTGATGATGAGAGGGATTGGTCCTGGGAGGAACATGCAAGCACATTTGACATCAGGTGCATCACTTCTGTTTGGAATCCTGCTTTTGACTCTTTGACTAATAATTATGACTAGTGGTTTCAGATAATGCCATTGTACCAGCTAGTCACCCAGCTTGTGCAAACCCATCTGGGAAAGGCAAGAGGTGAAAAACTGATATTTTGATCCAAACACATATAATCCAAATTAACTGAAGATATCAGATTACATGGATAGTCACTTGGAATTTCCAATCTTTGGCTATTCAGTGGAGGAATCATCTGTGGGGAGATTGGGTCATTGAAATTCTGAAAATCTAGATGATGATTTGTATCTTTTGACTAATCATATATCACCAGTGGGATCAGATAATAACATCATGACAGCTAGTCATCCTCCTTATGCAAACTCATCTGCAAGAGGCACCAGGCTGGAAACCCAAATCTTTGCTTCAAACACCTACAGTACAAATGAATCAAGTGTATTAGATTACATGGATAAACCCTTGGAATTTCCAATCTGTTGGCTATCAGTGGAGAAACCATCTTTGAGGATATTAGATTATTCAAATGCTGAAAAGCCAGAGGATTTCATACACCTTGGCATGACAACTCCAAATTTGAGTCACAATGCTCAGATATCTGATATAGGACATGCAGTGGATATTTGGGAACATGATAATAAAATAAAAATGACCAGGAAACTGGTAGGAATATCCAAGAAGTGGCCTCAAGGAGTGACAAGAACTTAGAAGTGACATCCATAAGTTTCTTGGACATCCTGAAGAACACTCCAGAAGTGTCACTCAAGAAACTTCTGCAAATGCTGGAGCAACTTCTGGATATCACTTCTTGACACTTCTTGAGGCCACTTCTCAAATCTCGAATACCCTTAGTATGGCCATCTAGTTGTGTCAATATTTCAAAGAACTTTGCCAGCATGTCTCTGGATGGACTGAAGTTGATTGGGAGGGACTTGGTGAGAAAATTGAAAGACATAGAGGGTGACATGGCACAATCATCTAAGCAACTCAGACTACATTTGATATGATACCTCAAACATAACATCTCTCATGGTCCACAGGCTCTTTCAAAGAAAATTAGGGGATACAAAGTTAAAATTGGGATTTTTTCCCAGTTTCCCAGTTTTCGTTTTTTGGCTGTGTTTGGATCTTTCACAAGCTCTCCCAGTTTCCCAATTTGTGATTTTGGCGGTATTTGGGACACTGGGAAACTGGGAAAAAACTCCCAGTTTTAACTTTGTATCCCCTAATTGTAAAGGATGAAGTTGAAAAACAGCAAGTTGTGACACACATGGAGATACCCATTTTTATTACAGGATGGAAATGGTGATAAATTTGAGAGTACTTCACCAGATGGATTTCATTCATCACTTTCAAGATATGTTTTACACAATCTACTTAAAAATGAATGAAAAATCAAAATCAACATCACCCACAATTCCAGGATTGCTTTCTCCATAGAATAAATCTATCACTTCAACGGGAAAGGCATTCAATGATTTACACTGTGTTTGTGTGGTGTTTGCTCGTCAGCAAGCGCACATGTGTTGCCTTTGTGCCTCAAAGGCTGTCTGTGTGCGCTTATTGTTGAGAGACTGCCACAAGGACACAGTGTTAGTTAGATTGACACAGTTCTTAGAAAACATATATTGGAAGTTTGTGCTACTGGAAACACATATTGGGGAAAAACATTCAAAAAAATCCAAGCCAATACTGGTTGAAAGGCATCTTATAGAACAAGGAGAAAGAATAATCAGATAAAATGAGTGGCTAGGAGTAAATATTCATGAAAACTTTCAGGTCTTCAAAGACACCACACCTGACCAATTTGAAAGCATTATGTAGATCAACTTTCCCAGCAAAAATGATGTGAGAACTACCCATAATTTCTAAACCAGAGAAGGGAGTGAACTGGTATCAATTCAGAAGGAACAGGGATTGAAGAGAAGAGGGATTTTGGAGCATGGCATAGAATTATTGTTGGGCATATTTAGCATCAGGAACTGGGATCAAGAGAAGAGTGATTTTGTAGCATGGCATAGAATTCTTGTTGAGCATGTTCTCTGAATGGACCAAGATTCACTTTTAACATCTGTGCACAGCTTTGAAGGATCCCTCTTTCCAATATACAGGGGGATCACCTTAATATCTTACCTTCAGGGATTTTTTTGGACATCTCATGCACTTGTAATAGTATCCAGCACATTTGCTAGCCAAAAACGTCCTTTGAATCCTTGTAGAAAGTTGGTTGTTGAAGGAAATGCCAATTATCACCAAATAGACTGGCATTGTGATTATGAAGACCTGGAGTCCAAACAAGATAGTAAAAGATTTGAAGCAAGATATCAATAAAGAAATAACAGGAAGACTTAGTCTTCATACCACAACTTGAATCTTTTGCAGTGCCTCCAAGATATTGAAACAAGATACCAGTAGTTTGAAGAGGTATTATGTTTTGAGACTTGATTGATGTCAAGCCTAGTTAATGCTGGAGTGAATTTATACACCTGGAATTATAACAGAAAGAGATGTTTTTTCCTGGTTTCCTAAAAAGATTTGAAGTTTGAGACAATTACAGCTACTAATACAGGTAAGGTGAATGGGTTTCAACCAAAATATTGATAATCATATTCATTTCTTTGTCATATACTTTTGATCTTGGCATGACCAGGGAGGAAGTGTGTTTTATATCACGTTTGCTATCTGGGTTAATCTCTGCAATGGGCATTCAGAGAACTAAAAGAACTAAAAGCTTGCCAATATCCACTCTGATACCATTTTCAGGGAACAGAAAACTGCCTGTTGTATCTCATCTTGCTAAAATGCTTGAACTTTGAAGGTACCTATGTAAAGGAAAACAAATCTATGCACTGGTTCCTCACAGGATGGAACGTCACGAGGTCCAAACGTTCATTAGCTTGAGACCCCGACTTTACAAACATTGCCTGGGTACATGTAAGTACCATAACCCGCAACATGGGTCTAGCGACTTCTGGACGTCCAGGGTGATAAATGACGTCATTCTCTTGCCAAAAGAATTGATGCAAGTCGCGGAGACAGAAAAATTGAATGAAACCCAACCTTCTGATAAAAAAAGTACCTTACATTACACTTGATTATTCACAATGATTTCTGCAACTGACATAAATAACACACTTGAAAGTAGATAATTAAAAATCTCATATGGTACAATGATAAAAATAACAAATGAAACGATACATAATCAAGATAAAACCAATCTAAAGACTTCCTCATGATCAGAAAAAAATCGCATTCTATAATGAAAAAAAAAAACACCTGACATCATTCAAATCCCTTGGCCGTCTTCCCGTCTGATCTCTTCCCTTTCTCTGACAGGTACAAAGGCATCACCAACCCAATTTTTTTCTTGTCCTAATTTACTATCCCATCCAACATGAAAAACTTTTAATAATCCACCGATAAAAGCTTCTTCGATTGCCATACCAGGACTAGGAAAACAATAATGTAAACAATCTATTGGATTAAGATTGATCTTTGGTGAGAAACTTTTACTAGACGATTGATGAAAGAGACCAAAGAGTTTGAATTGTGGTGATGAGGAAAGCTTGGGATTCGAAACACTACTTCCTCCTACCATTCCACTTCTCCAAATCGATGTAAGACTTTCTAAATCAAGGAATGGAATACCAAAGATAGGTAATAATTGTCTTAATAAATGATTTTGAAAAATTACTTGAAGGTTATGGAAAACTGTTGAAGGATCTCTAAGACGATTGAGAGTATCAAGTTTTTGAAGACGAGAAGCAGTTGGATGGTTTTTATAACTGCTGTCTTGAAGTTCTTCTTCGAAATCTGGAAACATTATGGTTAATAGTGTTGGAAGTGAAGTATGAGGTGGTGGTCCATCGCCTGCCGCACGTTTTTGCCACCAACGATTCCAATCGAATTTCGTTTTTGGTTCAGGTTGTGAGGTGCTGGTACGTTCCGAAGAGGATTGAGAGGCCCCACAATCAGTTTGTATTCTCCATTCTCCCCGCCAGACCATGAGTTGATCAACCGGAGATGCATTACTCCTTAGACTCAATAAACTATAAAGCAGTTCTGGAAGCCAAACTTCTAATACCATTCGACAAGCCATCTCCACTAATTCAGCAGCAGCAGTGATCCCACCATTCTCAAAGTATTCAACTGAAGGCATTGTTTTATTATTAGATGGATGTCGAAGGTATTGAAGATGTGTAGCAAGAATGTCTGTAGGTTTTGTAAATGCTTTATGTTGATGAGTTGGAAGAGGAAATGGAATGGGAGGTCGAGATAGTACGACCAGATCTGACTTTCTTGAGTCGGTGATCCAATCTGTGACACTTAGAGTAATAAGCTAAATTTGAAGTTCATCACAATCATATTTAGTACCTAAACGTACAATTGTTAATGTCCCTGATTCCTGTATTATCATGTTGCCAGACCGGCGCAAACCTACGATGTGATGGGCTTGATGACGCCCAAAGAGAGTCTGAACGACGGAAGCGTAAGATAGTACCACGGGCCGGGGATGTTTTCGATTCTTTATGTGCGGTACTGGTATCATGTGAAGCGCGTGGAACGAGAGCAGGAGCAGAGGCGTTCAAGAGACTTGCCAATCCATGGCCCGCTGCACCAATTTTTGAAAGTTTTTCGTCGGCTTCGAAGGGCTGATTGCTGGGCTGGCTCGGTAATTGATGATAAACATAGTCATCCAACGTGCCAGATTCAAGTTGATCAGCCGAACCCTTCCATTTGTCGTCTAGATCACCTCCACAAATTCCATGTTCTTTGCAATACAAATCTCCATAGCACGTAACTGGTGTTGTACTCGTCCAATCTAGAAGCAAATCATGCATCGCATACTGAGCAATATCACCTACGACCAATATGTTCTTGTGTCGTAAAAGACGACATAAATCACGCCTTGAGAGTTTCACGTCTTGCTTCAATTGACGTGGTCGGAGTGCGTTGCATTGATTCGAAGGATACCATCGAAATTTCAAGGAGGGTCTAACACTCCAACCATCAGTGATCAGACGGTCCCTATCACGACCACTGGCTTGATAGTATGATCGATCACATTTTGCTTCAAGCGGTCCTTGTTTATGAACTGTGAACGGCCTACGATTGGCATTGGCTAAGGGTTCCCATCTCCACTCTCCTTGACTGGATGTACAATCGAGCCATCTTTGAAGGGATTGACGGTCTGCATTAGCTGTGATGGCTGTACCAGGAATTCCGGATGTTCGATTTTTGAATTCAGGTGAAGAAATTATTGGATCGCTTGTGAGTATACGTCGTACAGCATCATTGATATCATTTATAGATTTGGTGTAGACCTTCTCCAGTAGATGGTTTTTCGGTAGGGCTTCTATCGAAGGTAAAGAGTTCGACTTGAGGAGTTTGATGCTTGGTGGCTCTTGTATTTCAATAGACGATCGAGTATATGTCCACTTCGATGAACCCAGAGAGGATGCCAAGCGGATTTCCTTGAGAAGTCCTGTCCAACTGACTGGTAGAGCGAATTGTGAGCCAAAATGATAAGGTGAAGTCAAGACACCCTTGATTTTAGAAGCCAGATGAGCTCCATTTAAATCCGAAGAACTAGAGGAGTGAAGTTGCTTGGATAGGTCAGATGGTTCGCTTATCAGATTTGTAGGAAGCCATTGATCGAATCGAAAGATGAATGCGAAGGTGATGATTGCTAAACCGAAAGCTAAACGTAGCAGGGATCTTGAATGACGAGAAGAGATACTACGAGCCATTTGGAAGGTAGCATACCCGAGTGATCGTTATCGAATTGTAGTTTGCAAAAATTATCAATTCATCAAGAGGGACAAAGTGAAATTGAACCTGATCGACTTGTACTATACAATAAAAACTACTCAGCATAAAGGGACATTGCTTTACCTGATCAAGACAATGCTATCTGAGTCTCACTAAGTGGCATATGTACTCATACTTACTCATACTACCACACAATCCCGAAATGACCATTATCTGCAGCACGCAATCTCAGCGAAGAACTCATGTACTTACCTATGCTGCAACTTGGCAAGATTAGTCACAATCACTCAAGATCGGAAATCCGTACTCGAAGCTAAACATCCTGGGGTTTGATTGTAATTGAATCCTGAAGAGTATCTTGATGATATATTTGTTGAAAACAGTGGAAGACCAAATTTCTGGTGCGAAAGAGCAACGCATTACCGGATTGATGATGGCCGCAGTTGTTCATGTATGCTGGAATCCGGTTCGGAAGGATGGACAGAAAGCTCGAGGTCGGTTTACATTTTTGGTATCAATCAACTTTCTTTAGCCATATGATATGGAACATTTAGGCCATAGGCTGTGTAGGCGAGCATCAAGGTCAGTAAGAGAGAGGAATTCGCGTTTCGGAAGTCTTATTGAGAGTGCAGTGTTTCGTCCTGGGTACATTTGTCTCGCTTCGTCTCTGTTGACCAAGCTATCACTCGACTCATATACTTATTCCAACCGGCCCAAGCCTTTTTGACCGGCTGCCTTGTGGAGGCCATCACCAGGACCGACAATCATTGCACGAACCCTGGTTGCCTTGCGAAGGCTGATTTATCACTCTGATTTGGATGACTAAAGACCAACATATGAATCATGACTCCTCCTGAATCGAAGTAAGTCGCATCCTTCTACCCTACCTACCCGAATCACCTATACTTTCAGTCTCGAATATTGATCATGCTATCCGCTGCTAGCTCTCTCTTCCCATCTGCAAGTCTTCTAAGCAATGGATCTCACTTACTCGCACATCGCCCCGTAAAGTTTAGCGAACCAATAGGTGCATCTGGCAATGGATCCTCTCAACTTACTTTGCGCCCCGCCCCTACTTCCTCTTTGGCCGAGGCAGACTATGATGTCGATGTCGATTCCGGTTTCCTACCACCTCAGATGCCATTATGCCGTCTAGTTGGCGAACCGTGGAATGTATGGGAGGAAGCTTGGGACTCAACTTCGGGCTTTAGACCTGGTATCGGTGAAGATGATGACCAACGAATCCGAGCTTGGAGGCGATACATCCGGGAAGAGATGCCAGTGATTGACGTTAAACCGTTACAAGACCAAGGAGTGGTAGAACTCAGACGAGCTCATAGTCTTCTCGCCTTCCTTACTCACACTTACGTTCATTCTGAAGCTCGAAAAGTGGTGCTACAAGACGACTATCAGGTGATCATCCCTCGAGCATTAGCCATACCTTTTTGTGCTGTCAGTGATATTCTCGATATCCCTCCCATACTTACCTACGCCGACACGGTACTTTACAACTGGAAATTGAAAAATCAAGCCCTTGGATTCACGGTCGAGTAAGTCTTACTTTTTTTTTGAAAACCTGTCCTCCTCAATTTCACTGATGATTGTATTCAAACACGGTGATTAGCAATGTAGAGATTCCTTCCACTTTTACACGTAGCGTATCAGAATCGCATTTCTTCAAAACCTCTTTGTTGATCGAGACAATTGGACCACAATGCCTGCGTTCGATGCGTTCCTCTCTGGATGAAGCTTTCATTGGTGATGAGAAATCCGTCCGAAGAATCGGTGAACATCTAGTGGCTCTTGTCATCAATATAAAGTGTATCACTTCATTTCTCAATGATGTTCGCACGGCTTGCGATCCACGTGAATTTTATTGGGAGATTCGACCTTGGTTCAACGGTGGCAAATGGATCATGGAAGGTGTTCCGGCCTTGCCCGGACCGTGGCGAGTCACAGAATTTGGTGGACCTAGTGCAGGTCAATCTACCCTCATTCATTCACTCGATGTTTTTCTTGGAGTAGATCATTCTCCACGTCCAGGCGAAATGTCAAAAGAAGAAACTTTTATGAAGCGAATGGCCGCATATATGCCACATTTCCATCGAAGATTTCTTCAACATCTTTTTTCTTACACTGGCGAAATTCGAAGCTTGGTATTATCATCTGGATCTAAAAGCCTTCTTGCTACTAGATACAACAGTGCTGTTGCAGCCCTCGAAGAGCTCAGAAACAGTCATAGTCGTGTAGCACTTTTTTATATCATCTCTCAAAGTCGAACAGAACCTCCGATCGGAAGTGCTTTTATTTCTGAATGGGAAGAAAAGATGGTGGCTGAATGGAAAAAACAACAACTTGCACTTTCTCGTGAACCTGGAAATGAAACTGTCCATACGGGAACTGGTGGGACTGATTTAGCAAAGTTTTTAAAAAGATGTAGAGAACGAACGACAGAGGCATTGATTCAGAATTAGTCAACATCAACATCTTTGATAAATTTATCAATTCATCTAATTTGACGGATCTATAGGACTTTCAGGAATGTTTTTTACTGAAGACGAATTCCGCCCATGGGCACTATCCAACGCGATAACTGGAACCAGTCAACTCATCACATCTGACGGGCATCTAATTCCAACATATTCGTCGTGATCCCGAAGATCTAGCTCTACCTTATCAAAGCAACCATAATTCACCCTGATCAAAGTCCACAATTAATATTCGCCCTTTCTGTCGAGTATCAGATTCACATACACCAATCTGTCTTTCAACCTAAGCCTTTGAAATTCTCAACTAAATGAAATGCTGTTTGCGAGAATGGTTGTTATTGAATCATGACCAATTGAAAGAGATATTAGATTCTTTACTTCATTCTCCTCATAGAAGTCATTGAATGACTGCATTTCGTGTCTCTTCATCACATTTCATTAGAATATATGTACTTCTTCCACTCTTGTCCTATTAACGTCGTTTATCATTCACATGTAACGTAACAATATCTAACTACATAAACCTGGCTTTGCCTAATAATTGTCAAAGAATAAGACGTGAACAATTTTTCTATTCATCAGATTCATGCTTTGGTTCGGTCCATAACAGCCTCGAGATAAAACCACCTCACAAAAAAAATCAAGTAGAAATACTTTTTGCCACTTGTTTTATATACGGGCCACGTTTTCTGAATTTCAAACTCAACAACAGACTCCTGGCCCCTTTGTAAAAACTCATGAATTACCATACAAGTTACAGCTGGTTTTGTTCCCATTTGGCACTTGGTTTTGTGAATTTAGAAATGCTGTGATAAATAGAAATCATGACAGTTGGTTTATTTGGGCGAACTCCGTTGAACTGAATTGATGAACCTTTGTACTGACAAGCCAATAATCAGGATTCAGCAATTGAGAATTCTTGGAGGTTTACTGCATGATTTATAGGATAATTGAAGATTCATCGCATTCACGAGGTACTGCTTTGAAGATATTAAAGGACTCAGCATTTCAACGCATCCTTGAGCATTGTGATTCTTGCAAACCAATCGCGGCCTAAGCATTTATTTCCGTCGCTTTCTGGAAATAGATGCGCTATGCTATGATGTGTAGATGCATTGGATGTGGTGGACTCACAACATCTCACAACAAGGGAATAGTTCAGCTACTGAAGTTTGTCGAATAGCAAGACATCTCTGATTGCATTGTGACGAGAACGAGTGGCTGTCGATTTCGAGACCGTCTATTGGCATCTTGCAGCTCAGCCTAACCGTTGATTTCAGCTCTCGCGATGTACTGCCAGTCGTGGTACTGGGCCAAGACTAGATAAAATTGGAGCACTCATGACCAACAAGAGTCTGGCTAAGGCCACAAAGCGAGCATTCAAACTAGTTGGACAACTTGATCAAAATCAAACCTGACCATACCTTCTTACAGTGTTTAGAGAAGCACCGTTAAAGGTGCTCGCCAGTGGTGCACTTGAATTATCAACGTTTCTGCGAACTGTCCTTTCCAAACCCATTAATCCCTACAAGCACTTCAAGCCGCTGCACCCATCACCCGGTCCAACGGTCACAAAATCAGTTGGCCGACATGGTAGCCTCTTTCAACTTCCACCTCTCCTACGTAACGCTCGGATGTGTCCTCTCTCAGGTTTACTGCGGAGGCCAATCAAATCACCCTCGTCTCGCTCCCCTTTGGAGCCCGGTTCCTTCGACAGACGCTTTTAGTAGCACTAAGGACTCGCAATCATATATGTGCGATGCCACTCATCCTCCTATCGACTCTCTCCGAAGTCCAGTTCCTTTGCTAGGCGATAGTATGTGCAATGCTACTCAGGCTCGACTCGACTCCCTACAAAGTCCAGTCCCTTCACTAGACATGTTTGGCATTCCTCCGAGCCCGCAATCACATATGTGCAATGTCACCGACTCAATTTCCCAAACTAAATGGATCAAACCCACCTCGAAGTCTCATGACCTCCCGAAGATAGGAAGTTTTACACAGCACGAATGTTTCGAAAATATCCTAGGTCAAGAGGAGCACTGCCTTTATGTCAACAGCAATTTCTCTTCCGGAAGAGGAATGTCCATCTTTACCCGCCCATCAATCCTCAAAGAAGACTTTTCTCAGCTCCCGATCTTCAAATCGGATTCTTTCGTGGTCACACAAGCAGAACGCCGATCAGTGCCCTTCAATGTTACCCCGATTGCCGGGAAGGGCATTGGTGCCCTTGCTACTCGTCAAATTTCCAAAGGCGAAGTGATCATTTCAGATCATGCTGCCACTGTCATCATCGTGGAATTCTCAGCTATTCACCATCCTAGCTTTGGTGATATCTGTGTCTCAGCGTTTGATCTGTTGCCGTCGCCTACTGGGTCACTCCTCATGAAATTGGACGCAGCCGGTCATACAAGAGTAGAACGTGTTCATACTGCCATCGCACGCAATGCATTTGAAACCCCGCACGGTAGCGAGGAGGTACTTCACTATGCAGTGGTACCAGAACCTTCAGTATTCAATCATGAATGTCGCCCCAAGTTCGTCTTTCGTTTTTGTTTCCTTTTATTTCATCTTCAATGTGATGTCATACTTGACTGGTTTTCTAACAACGCATCTATCACGCAGTTCGGCCTTCTTCTTCGATAAGAAAACCTTGCGAGTTTACATAAACGCCGTTCGGGACATCGCTATGGGTGAAGAGATCACCATCGCATGTTTGTAACGTGTCTTTGTCTCGTGGATCACAACCGTTTTTCTGACAAGAGCATCCATCCTTTAGATCGTGATATGAAAGCTTCCAGAGCGGAGCGACAAGCCTCGATCGCACACTACGGCTTCCAATGCAAATGTAGTCACTGTAGCATGTCGGCTGAAGAGTCTAAAGCGTCCGATGAGCGCATCCAAGAAATAGACACCATCCTTGACCATTTAGCAGACTATAGCGACAAATCAAAAGCCAATCTAGATATGGCAGATAGATTGATTCAACTCTACCGCGAGGTGCGCATCTGACTTCCTCACTACAGTGTCTAATTACTCACTTTGAACGTACGTTTTAATCACATCACTATCTTTCCACTTCTTCAGGAACGGTTTGACGGCCGAATGGCAGAACCCTACACACTTGCCACAATGGCATATAATTCGTTTGGAGAGATAGACGAAGTCAAGAAGTTGGCCACGTTAGCTCGTGCCGCTGGAATCCTATTCGCTGGACCTGCTTGGGCTGAGTTATCAGCAATTGAGGAGATGCAGGAAGACCCCAAGTCACATTGGAGTTATAACGTACGTCAAGGCATGCGTTCAAGGCAGACAACGAATGAATAAGGCAGTCAAAGTGCGGGATTTTGTACCTGCAAGCCTTTTGATCATCTGTATGTAGAATTCTTGAACGAAATGAAGATAAGAGTTCTCCTTGAGAGGCAGACTGTTTCTTCAAAAATGAACATCATAGACACCACGGTATATCGATCGATTTCAGCTACCGTCAAAGAACATAGCCCAAGAAACAAATTTTTAAAACAATCTTTGAGACTCAGAGAACCAGACAGGCACTGCCAGCATAGATGCCTCGGGTTGAGAAATCCGAGGCATCATCGGAGGCAAATCCTCGGACAGACCTTGTCCGAGGTTTTTGCCCGAGGTATTTTTTTGCCCTGAGAATTACGTCGGATCAAAACCTCGGGAAGCTTATGTCCGAGGTTTTGCATCCGAGGATACCTCGGATTTTGTAATCCGAGAATAAATATGTTGGTAACTTGTACGGTGGCTGTGGAGAGCCAGATGAGTCAAAACTCAGAAAGCGCAAATTTACACATGAAACTTGACTTCAAAAGCCTGTTGGAATGGTTTTGGACCTGAGTCCGCCAGTCCGGACTAGACTCCACCCATGTGCTCAGCAACTGATCCAGACTTATTATGATACATTCAACTTTTCAAAAACTGCCTCACCCTTAACTGCCAATCGCGTCAATAAAAAATTTAATAAATTTTGCCCCGGCAAGGTGGACCCTGATCGCAAATTTGAGGCCTACCTTCATTCTCTGTTCTTTCTTACAGAACTTCCACAATGAATGTTAACGCTCCCATGTGCTCTTCTTGTCATCAAAATCAAGCATCTTTTTGTGGTTTTTGTTCACTTTGTTTGGATATATGCCTTGCTAATCCTTTATCATCACAACTTAATTCATCAAGCGGTTCAAGCTCAGTTGAACCAGTCTCCCCGATGGTCAACGACTTTAACCAAAACAACTCTCTTTCCTCCGGCTCCTCCTATTCTCAACCTAACATCAATCCTACTTACACCAATCATCAAGTAAACGATCAAGACTCAAACCTTGGCTCTAGCTTTGGTGTGAGAGCTTTCAAGCATGCCGCCGCCAAAGTGGCTGCTCATAACAACATCATCCAAAACACAGCCTCAGCTCAATACAGCACGGTTCAACAGCATCCAAATTCTTCAATGGCTTCTCAACAGTTTGACCCTCTCGCTGCAGCTAAAGACAATCGTTCACGTACGGCCTCTGGATTCCCAGCTGGTAAAGCTAAACGCGCTCATGGAGGGTCTGCTGGAACTGTCTTGAGTCAATCACGTATGTCACGCTCCATGACAGACTCCCCTGCATTTGATGGTTCTAGCCCTTGAATCACCATCACTTGCGGCTTTGAAGCACACAAAGCATCCAAATGGGCCAAAGAAAAGCCAATTTCAGTCTTGAGGACAATCAACATATTCCATCCTCAAACTTATGAAGAATTATGACTTGACCTTTGGACACATTTCCAAAATGTTTATGTGCCAAATGATCTCAAGATATCCCTCACTCCGGCCAGTTTTCCTTTTACCACTCTTGGAAGTCAAGAAGTCTCTATAAGCCAAGGCGATTTGGAGTGGTGGTTTTCAAACCACAGCACGATCAGTCTGATTTATGATCACTCTCGATACAAACACAGCTTACAGACCTCTCAAATCCCCCCTCCTCAGGTATTGAATATCACAGACTCGTCTAGCTCTTTACCAAACAAAAGCTTGACTGGCCAAACAAGTAAGTGGTCCCTTTCTTCATCAAATATTAAATTTATAGGAAGCTCACTGTGTTTTTCACTCTGAAGCACCACATGTAGCCATACTCCTCTACACAGATGAGAACAAAGTTACTCATGGCCTTGAGTGTTTTGGGGTATCCTGTGAGGCCTCTCTGGTTCACATTCGTCATGGAATCAACTGGCTACCTGGCCTTCAATGGTTTTTACAGGACAATGGAAACACCATGGAATCTGACTTCATCGCATACCGTTGAACAGGACGTGAATCAAAATCAGGCAGGAATCATCAAATTGACTCAATTGAGACCTGGCATCCTGACGGCCCAATTGAACTCATTATAAAGACCCACAATATTAATCGATTCAACCTTTGCTTGGTTGCTCCCACAACTACCTCTTGTCTGTGTAAAGCTGTTGATGTCCTGTTGCGGTAATTTGTTCACAAATCCAAAAAGGTATCCGGTCTATCATCACATGCTGATATTTGGAAAATACTGAATGAATTACAAGTATGTCTTTTTGTAACAAGGGTTTTGACTACTTAAACTGACCCTTGACTTCTTCTCAGCTTGGACCACTTGAGGTGATGCATGCTGAAGAAGTAGTCACATCACCCTTGGAGTCTTTTGGTTCTTCGATGTTCTTTGGGTTCCCACTAATTGACAACCCTTCAAACATGCACTACTTGATGGACACCTTCATGCATTGGACCTACCAACACAGGAAAGGCCATTGTTTCGTGACTGAATTCCGTGGCTTTGGATCTGTCCTCACAAACCCACAGATCATGGATGTAAACCCAGCGTAAGTCTAACCGCCGTGATTACAAATAAGCATAACTGTGCTGATTGTTTGTAATTGGAGAAATAGGAATTTTCGGGGATTCAGGAACGGTCAAGCCTCTGCTGTTGCCCTCATGGTCACTCAACATAGATGCAAGCTCGGTTGTCAGCTCCTTGCACTGCCTCCCCTAATAAAAATCCCTGTGCAAATCCCGTCAAACGACCAGATATACTGCCACGCATTGGAATCAACCATAAACCCAGGTGAGATCTCAACTGCCGGTCCAGCTGATCTCCATACATTTTTGGCCACCTTAGCTCGCCCAGCGCCTCCGAAGGCCCCCACCCCTGATTATTCATTCTTTTGAGCCTGTAAACACCACATTTTGGCGGAATTTTTGTTACAAGTGTTTTGTAGTGTTCATACGTAGATATATGTACATAGGTGTTCCCTTTCATTTATTTTTATTGTCATCTGCTCCAATTGATTCTCTTCTGCTTATCTTGTATATGTACATAGGTGTTTGTTTTCATGTGTTTTCATTGGCCTCTACTCTGGTTCATTTCACTTCTGCTTTTCTTGTTATAAGGAATCCAAAACAATGTCTTTGATTCCTTCATAAACACCAATCACCACTGATTTAATACACTGTACAACAAAGCAATCGTTTATCATGTTGTTTGCTCTACCCCTTCACACACTATGTAAACTCTTGCCCATCAATCTTACTTGGAATGAACCAAGTATTATGTGCATATTACTCGGTAATTCTTGTGTTTCCTCACTCATGAAGCTAAGGTGATACTAATGAACAAAAGATGAAGTTTGATTTAAAATGTATGCAATCTGCTGGGAAGGTAATCACTGAGACAAGGTTGCACTAATCAAACACAAAAATTCTACATACATATGAACTTCTAATCAAGAACACAGACACTTTCCTAATGAATTTATTTAGATTTCTTACACCTCCTGATCCCCCTAGATATGAGAAACATCCAAACAAGACAATCACTGTTTAACATCATCACATGTACACCATATAATCACTCTCAATCAACTCAATAGACACGTGCATGACACAGAAACACCATCAGCCCAAGGTATTAGTTCTTGGTTGAGCCCCCAAATAGGGGTTTGATTGGTTTGTGTGATCATCAAAGCCTAGGGCATGGAGTGCATACGTTTGAGCTGTGGTTTGTTCTTGGAATGGAGACTTATCAAAGCTGACCTGGACAACAATATCCTGAGTTTCTGAGTCCCAAGATTGAATATTCCCAGTGAAGAATGTTTGGACTGGCTGTTTGTTAAAATCATCAAGCTCCATAACTCCAAGGCCTGGGTCACCTCTGTAGGTTATACTTCCTCCAACGTATATTCCCAGCTGACATATGTGGGACGGAGAAATGTTAGCCTAATCATTGTTTTTCAAAAGCAGAAACACTAACAGGAGTGAACCAAAAACTATGTTCGTGTTGCAATCAACTGGAGCGCACGAATAGGAGATGGAAAGGGTGAAATGAATTTCATAAGCATCTTAACATAAACTACTAAGAGAAAAACATACCTGGAGCGCACGAATAGGAGATGGAAAGGGTGAGGAAAAAGAACCCTTTCCTGATGTGGCTCCAGGTAGTTTATATACAAAAAGTGTCTTATGTAACAATTGTGTAATAGTTATGTAAGCACTATACAAGATTCATCGAGTAACAGAATGACATGTGAGAGGATTGAAGGAATCATTTGATGGTGGGAAAGCACACTATAGATGACTGTACATAGGAATATGATCAGGTTCTCGTGACATAATCTGTGAATATTCCAACAGTTTGGCCAAGATGTTTATCACCTCAGGCCCAAAATGCAGGGCTGGCTCCACATTGGCACGTATAGGTGATCCAATTGGGGAGACTGTGACTGAGTTAGCCAGTTCACACAAGAACTGGCGGGGTTGAACTATGCTAGGACCCAAGTCAGTTACTCTGCTCGGAGTTACTGCCAGCATATTTTGACCAGAGCCCTCATCATTGGTGAAAGGTCTGCTGGTCCATGTCTTTGGTTTGTTGATTGGTTAGCCTGTCTTCAACAAGATCTAATATGATTTCTTGGTGTTCTTCTGTCAGGATGGGAGGGCGAGGCATAGTCAAAGAAAGTCTATCATCAGATTTGAGAGGCATCGTCAGATTCAAGAGGTATCATCAGATTTGAGAGGGTGGAGGTGGTCTTGTCAAATTTTGCAAGACTTGTTTTCTTCCAGGTTAGGTTAACTTGGATATAGGAGATTGTAGATTAGAGGATCAGAATCAAGACGTTGTATTGACTCAAGTGGCACTTTGTCGATCACAAGCTGCCATTTGAGTCAAAATGTACATCTGAAAGATGTTTACAAAGAATCAATGAGCATTTTGTGGATGAGGACAGCGGACTCGGGGTCTAGGGGTCTGTAACCAGGGTTCTAACCCGTGTTTCATTGTGGTTGGTAACTTGTTATTAACAAAGGGGAATGGGATAATTCGGACTTTACATCATGTAACTTTTACACAAATGACATCGGATATCTTACAGGTTATTTTGATTTTTGACAAATGATGTCATCCAGTCTACCATCCAGTTTACCTTTGTCCGACATTATCCCATTGAGTTCACTATTGTCAGAAAGTCTTCACTTTCTAGTTTTTCTTTTTAGAACACATATACAAACAAAAATTATCTTTCAGACAAACTACTATCAAACCGTAGATCCACAGTTTGCTCTTCATATCAATGAGCGATAATGTCAGCTTTGATTTTAACGCTGCAAAGAAAGTTAATGATGGGCTTTCAGCCCTTACCGCTGAATATATCGCAGCAAATGGCTCCATTAACAAGTCAATGCAATGGGTTCGATTGAAATATGCATTGATTGTTCCTTGCGATGCACCTAATTGGCATCAGCAATGGTCAAAATTTGCATCTGACCTTATCAAATTGGACCAGAATGAAACCCGACCTATATTTCAAAACGAAGGTCCTATTCCAACAAGACCAGTCACTTCAGACAATGACCCGGTATATGTATTCAATTTGTTGTCAAATCCAGTATTTCCCCCTGATGCACGTAGGAACGACTATCAAGATAAGCATGATCAATCCAATCACCCCTCCCAATCTAAAGGTTCAAAATCTAATGAACCAGTTATCAAAGACAAAAATGACAACATCGTACCTATTTTATCCCAAGATCAGATTGATAACGCACAAAAAGTTAGAGATCTCCTCGATAATCAAGAAGTTTCTCCTAAAAAGATAAAGGGAAACATTTGGGAACCAAATCTGATGAAGATTCAGACGAATCGGATTCGGATGAGAAATTGGTCAAACACCAAAATAAATGGGATTTCTTCCCTAGAACCACCCTCGGTCCGAATTCAACCAAACATTACACTCCTGGAGCGGTTAGATTTGCAGCAGCAAAAAGTGGTTACGCCTCAAGTCTGTCTCAAGCGGTCAAAAGTTTCAACAACTCAGTCAAACCATTGGATTTTCCGGATAATCTCACTAAAGAGCTGCTACAAGGCAAGTATATCGACCTACGCCGTGTCAAAGGAGAATACCTTCAATCAAAAAAAGGTATGGCCCCTGCTCTCACAGTGGCGGGGGAAGATAAGAAGCTCAAATTACAGGGCAAGATGCAATCTAAAGAGCTCAATGATGTTCAAGAATGGTTTTACTATTTTGACATCCTTCAGAAAACTTATCAAGAGGCGTTCCCTAGTTGTTACGAAGATTTTAATCTTTATGCAGAATTTATCAAAGATCAACATATGTCTGACGGTTCACAAGCAAACTGGATCTGTGTGGCAAATTATGATGCTGCACTTAGAGGGAAGTTTGCATCGATCAAAAGTATTTCATTTGCTGATTGGGAACATCCAAAGTTGGCTACTCTCAAAACTAAGTATATGCAGAACGCATATCAACCAACGCCTTCAGTTCCTTCATCCAGTAACTTCCAACACCCCCAATTTTGAGTTCCACAAAGCGAGAAGTTCAATAGAAGACGCGCGAACACTCAACCTCAATACTCTTCTGCAAAACCTTCGAATTCACCTCTTTTCTTCAACGCGGATTTCAAGCATAAAGGGAAACTCAAAATCGAAGATACCAGCGGTGCGAAAGACTCAGAACAGTTTTGTTTTGAGTGGAACCTTTCTGGGCGCTGCAAGTATGGGGATAAATGCCGACGAATCCACAGATGTGTAGGTGTTTCTTATTTCACTATTCCCAATTCCAAACAAAATCATCTTGTTATGTTAGAGTTTTCTGCATATTATGTGGATATTTATTCTGACATTTAAGTGTTTACAGAACGTTAAGGGATGTAGGAAGGAACACCCAGGTTGTGAGCATGTCTAATACAGATAAAAAAATTTCCATGGGGTTGGTATTTCTCTATTTTATTTTGTCATTTTCTCTGGAAGGAATGTTTTCATTGCGCTTTGTATCCAAAGAATTCTGACGTTTGAGTTAATATTTAGAACGGATTTTTTGGAGCTAATATCTGTAAACAAAGAGATTAATCTGGCGATTGATCCAGATCAAAAAAAATTACGAGGCTACATCTCACTACACAAAATGTAATCTTTACCGGGCGGTAAAGAAAACTACTGACATAGAAAACTCCTGAGGCAACAGGAAGAGAGCTAAAAATCTGGAAAAATATGCACCTTGTTCCTAGATGTTGGGGTGTGATGATGAGTATTTTTTTGTATTTTACACACAGATATTGGTTAGTGTACTAAAAATAAAGGCTGAAAATCATCAAAAACCCACCTGTAACAATACCTGAAATTTGGGTCATGATCATGAAGACAATATTTTGTGGTCTAAAAACTACAACAACTTCTGCAATTCTGCTCCAAACAACTCAATTTTTGGCTCAGTCAAAAGCTGAACCATTCTCCTTTACACTTAATAAAGGCAGTAAGGTGTTATTTAGTCATGTAAACGCTCTACATATGCTCAAACAGTTCTGCATGAATTGCTCTGTAGGATCTTTTGTAGACCGGCTACAGATGTGATGTCTCAATGATAAATGTAAAGGAAAGACTCACCTTTTTGATAAACTTAAAATCGAGTGATTTGATTTAGAACTGCAAAAGGTATTGATGTTTGAAGATTTCAAAATCCTCTCTTCAAAATCATGGGTCAAATTTCAGGTATTGTTACAGGTGGGATTTTGATGATTCTCAGCCTTTATTGTTAGTAGACTAACCAATATCTGTGTGTAAAATACAAAAAAATACTCATCATCACACCCCAACATCTAGGAACAAGGTGCATATTTTTTCAGATTTTTAGCTCTCTTCCTGTTGCCTCAGGATTTTTCTATGTCAGTAGTTTTCTTTACCGCCCGGTAAAGATTACATTTTGTGTAGTGTCTGGGATGGGGTAAACCCAATTGGCTGTTCCCCGGCTATCGAATCTAGCTTATACGCTTGACCATTTCCAGATGCTCCATCATTGGAAATTGAAAAGGACACAGCTTATGTTTTGAAACAATATCATTACTTATTCAAAATAAAGACTCCTATTCAAGTTGATAAACTAGAAACTCTTTTAGTAGACCACCCAAATTGGCTTTTTGTCAATTCAGTTATAAAAGGTCTAAAGGAAGGTTTCTGGCCCAGTTCAGCACTTCCATCATCGGAGGTAATCGATGGTCCAAATCATATTTCATGTGACGAACATCAATTAATCCTAGAGAATCAATGTCAAGAGGAGATTGACAAAGGTAGATTTTCAGAGGAGTTTTCAACTTTGTTATTAGGAATGAAAGTGATTCCCCTTCTTATGGTGTCAAAGAAAGACTCGTTAAAAATGAGAGTCTGCTCTAATATGAGTGCGGGAAGACCTTCACCTAATGATATCATCGACAAAGATAACATTCAAGTTACTTACAATTCCCTCAAGACCTTTATCCCTTTTTTAATCAATATGAAAAAAGAATTTGGAGAGGTGGTATTGTTTAAATCAGATGTGGAAAGTGCTTTTAGAATTATACCTCTTCATAAACAATATCAAATTTGGCAAATATATAGAATCAGAAAGAAATTTAGAGCGGATTTCATGCTAACATTTAGATCTTCAGCTTCACCTCACATTTGGTGTGGGGTCTTCTCGTTAGTTCTTTGGATAGCCGAATTTGTCTTTGGAATTAAGTATATGAACAATATGATGGACGATGTTTGGTCTGTATGTTCAGCGAGACATTTCATTTCATTTAAAGGTCATCGAATTCCGACTCCTCAGGCAAAATTATTAAACTTGTTTGACATATTAGGTATTCCATGGGTTTGGAAGAAGCAGATTCATGGACCAATTATAGAGATCATAGGTCACGTGGTGGATTCCGAGAAAATGGTTTTCTATTTGCATCCTGACAAAAAACTTAATCTAATTAAAACGGTGGATGATTTTGTTTCACAGCCTCAACATTCTTTAAAATCATGGCAGGAAATTCTCGGTCACGCGTCATGAGCTTGTACCTCGATGCCCTGGGGAAGGTTCGCACTTCAAAGTTCATACGAGAAAATTTCAGGGAAAAATCAAAGATTTTTAAAAATTCATTTAAATAAAGAAATTCAACAAGACCTACGCTGGTTAATAAAAATTTTCAAAGCTTCAGATGGTGTAAGATTTTTAGATTCTTCAAGATGGGGTTTGACAGAAGCAGATGCGGTTTTCTATTCAGATGCCTGTATGACAGGGTTAGGCATTTGGGAACCTGGTCCTTGTTTAGGTTTCTATTTTATTCTTCCCCCACCAGATTGAAACATCTTCTGGGCCGAACTGCTAGGTGTCGTTTCAGCTATTGACATAGGGATTAATCAAGGTTCAAAAAGAATTTTTATTCATTCAGACAATAAATTAGTCGTAGATCTTTTTTCATCCCATTGTCCTAATTGGATCGTTCGACCGTTATTTCGTTATTGCATTAACCGTTTATTGATTGCCAAGGCTGATGTTAGAGTCATGCATATTTCAGGAGACAGTAACAAATCTGCCAACAAACTTTCTAGGCAAAAAGAACTTTTATCGGAGCAAGATTATAGTGAAATGTGCATTGCCACTGATGCAATTTCCATTTCTTATTTAAAAGTTGATTCAGGTTTAGCTTCAGGTGGTTTAAAAGCGAATCTTTCTATCTCAAACTCTCATATTCAACCATGGGTCGATCTTTCATGAAGAAATCACCCATCAAAAACATTAGTTTAGCCGATTTACAGAAATTATCAAGCAAGGATAAATGTTCTACTATATGCAAATCTTCTCTCATTAAGTACAAATCAGGGTTTAAAAGCTTTGCAAATTTCTGTATTTTATTTAAACTCGATTTTGTTCCGAATGTCCAAAACTTATGTGATTTCATTTCTTTTGCTAGTCGTTCTATTTCTCCAAGATCTGTGCAGGCTTATTTAGTTGGCATTTGTCATATATTTAAACTTAATTTTCCTTTAATTGTTTGTCAAACACTTCATCAAGACGTCAAGGATACAATGAAGGCGTGCATAAAAGAGTATTCAAAACCTGTAGTCAGAAAAAATCCCCTTTCACTTAATCAAATTGAACTCGTCAAGTCTAATTCTGGTAATTCTCACAATGACAAATTATTCTTAGCATTATTAGGAATTGGCTTTGGTGGCCTTCATCAATTAGGCGAATTAACTGTTCCCGACTCCGAGTTTCTACTCGATGCAAAGAAAATCATTTTAAGATCATCCCTTCAATTTTCAAGTTGCAAAAAGTTCATTCAATATCACCTCCCATATTCAAAATGCGACTCGACTTTTATTGGTGCTCCGATTATCATTCAATCTTTCGAGAATACGTCGGCTTGTCCAGTCTTATTATTAAAATCATATTTGTGTTCCAGAGATACACTGTTTATGGCGGCCTCTGAACTTTTCATTACCTCATCTGGTTGTTCTCCTTCTCGTAAATGGTTTTTATCACGATTTCATCAGCATTTCAATAAATCATTTTTGGGCCACTCTCTTTGATCTGGAGGAGCAACTGCGTTGGCTCAAGCTGGTGCTTCCATGGATTCCATCAAAAGCGCAGGAAGATGGTCATCAGAGGCTTTTTTGACTTATGTGCGTGGGCATGTGGCATTACGTTTACCTGAAAACCAGAATCATGTAATTGGGCATTCTTCCCATGTTGGTGCGAAGGTTTCATTCATTTAAAGGTAAGTTTCCATTTCTATTTAATATTCCAGCAAAGCTATGGTTTCAGTTTTTATTCAAAGCTATTATGCTTAATTATATTTGCATGGTAATTATTGCCTTTTATCCGGCTTTCATTGCTGTTGATTTTAATTTGCTTATTATAAGCTGCGAGTATTATTTTTGGGCACATTGTGGTCAATTCGTTACTAATATATTGATTTCTATTCTCTCCTACTTCACCACTCTTCGGATTACCTGTTTATAGGCGGGTCGGAGAGGGGTTGTTTATTATGTTGAAGAATATTATTACCCGGGGCATTATGCCTTGGGATGTCGCCCAAAACTCGTGCCACAATTTGTGGAATATTCTTTTAAGTTCTTTAGTAAGTTTTACTTATCCACGTTTCTTGTGGTTGGTAACTTGTTATTAACAAAGGGGAACGGGATAATTCGGACTTTACATCATGTAACTTTTACACTAATGACATCGGATATCTTACAGGTTATTGTGATTTTTGACAAATGATGTCATCCAGTTTACCATCCAGTTTACCTTTGTCCGACATTATCCCATTGAGTTCACTATTGTCAGAAAGTCTTCACTTTCTAGTTTTTCTTTTTAGCCCACCCACCGCTTCCCTTAGGTATTCTTTTATTTTTATATTCCTCATTTAAAATTTAAGATTCAAAGATTATTTGCTTTATATTTCTCTCTCAAAAAAAAACGTTTATTATCATTATGGTTTCTATTTTACATTTATCAAGGTTGTTTTTTAAAAAAAAAAAGCAGCGAAGAAAAATCAGTTTCATGGTTATTATTTCCTTTTTTTTCAAAATGTAGTTGGTTGTTTTTTATTAGTCTGAGCTATTGTTCCGCTACCGCCCCGTAGGGGTTGTTTATTATGTTGAAGAATATTATTACCCGGGGCATTATGCCTTGGGATGTCGCCCAAAACTCGTGCCACAATTTGTGGAATATTCTTTTAAGTTCTTTAGTAAGTTTTACTTATCCACGTTTCTCTAATATCATGTGCAATTTTGCAGTTTTGTAGTTTTGACTCATCTGGCTCTCCACAGCCACTGTAAACTTGTTATTAACGGAATGGAATGAGAGAAAATTTGGAATTTATTACTTACGACATGTCACTGACGGGTTGGACTTCTTTCTATCTATTTTACCACTCATCATTGATGATGTCATAGCTCTTTACCAATTTCCGACTTTTCTATCCCATTGCGTTTACTTTCGTCGATTTATCGCCTATAAGTTGCTATCTTACGCGTATTCTTTTGCGTCCCACCCACCCTGTTCCATTTTTTCCTTTTTTATCTTTCTTTGTCTATTTTCATACTTTCTTTTTTGAGCTGTTTGGTTTATTTTATTCTCTGCTATGAGTTTTTTATTACGATTAAGTTGCAATTCTTTTTCTTACATTTTTTTTTGTTGTTTTGTTGTTTCTTTTTATATTGTTCATTTGGCAAAGGTTTTTGGTTGTGGTTGTCTTATTTCTTTTTATTTTTTCAGAAGGTTATCTTTTAGTTTATGTCGAAGATTCAGTTTCATTTTTTAACTTTTTTAGCTTTATTATCAATTTCTCTAGTTTGTCATTTTTTATGTTGTCCGCTAGCCACCCCGTAGGGTGTTGTTTGTGTTATCATGGTCAAGACAATTATTTACCCTAGGCATTTTAGCCTAGGATTTTTAATGTGTTAAGCCCCTTGAGAGTTTCAGAAGTGTTGTTATCGGTACGCGGTAATCATTATAAATTCCCCCGCTACTTCACTTCCATCGCGCTACCTCTGAACCGCTTTAACTCATCAAGCTCAAATTGATAATGCCTCACAAAAGTCTTTGCGAAAGTTTCGAAATAAGTTATACCAAAAAAATATCGCTCGATTTCAACTACAGACAAAGAAAATAGCGCAGGAAACAAGTTTTTAAAAGAATCTCGATGAGATCAGGAATTAACCGAGTCATGTCTAACCTCCCTCCTCTCTCGCCCGACGGGAAGTGGGTTAAACGGCCTATGATAGGCTGTATTGGCGCTAGCCTTCCATGTGCATCATTCCAACAAATCTGCTCAGACTTCTTCGATGCGAGAACGACTGCTGTTTTATCTGAATATGTCACGTCCGGATATCGACTAGAAATCCGCAGTCGGCCGCAATCAACATTGAGATTGGCCAAGTGTCCTTGTACGAATCGAACTGGCCCAAGTCTGTCAGTGGAGACTCGAGTGCTGCCAAAGTTTATATGTACTTGACGGATAGGACTTACGACTGGGCCAAATGAGTGGTCATTTACAGTAGCTGGACAAGGTGATCAGCATCAACGCTGACCACAGTTTCCCCAGCGCTAGGATGCAGATTGTAAAGGCCTTCAATTCCACCTCTCCTCGACTCTTCGTGTCCACGCCGATCAATTTCAGCACAATCAACCTCCTGACCCATCGCTTCGCCCAACATCTCACGTAACACTGTCCAACAATATAAATATCAATTGCCTGATATGGTAGCCCATTTCAATGCGCGACTCAGATACACAATGGCCGCCTACATCCTGTCACAAGTTTATTGCGGGCACCAATTAGATCAGCGTCGCCTCGACTCCCTTCGAAGTTCAGTCCCATCGCTGGATGTTTTTGGTACCACACCTCGCTCGCAATCTTATACGTGCAATGCCACGCAGGCTCGTCTCGACTCCCTACAAAGTCCAGTCCCTCCACCAGATGTTTTTGGCACCACTTCGAGCCCACAATCTTATATGTGCAATGCGACCGATCTAATCGCACAAAGCACTCCACACAAATCCCTCTCAGAGCCTGATGACCTCCCGAAAATAGGAAGTTTTACACAGCACAAGTGCTTTGAAAATATCTTTGAAGGTGAAGAAGAACACTGTCTTTATGTTGACACCGACTTCTCCGATGGAAGAGGAATGTCGATCCTCACGCGCCCATCAATCCTCAAAGAAGATATCTCTGAACTCCCGATCTTCAAATCGAAAGCTTTTGTGGTCACTCAAGCAGAGCGCGAATCAGTGGCATACAACGTCACCCCGATCGTCGCGAAGGGTAATGGTGCCCTTGCTACACGTCAAATTCTCAAAGGTGAACTGATCAACTCAGATCATGCTGCCGCTGTCATCATCATGGAATTCGCAGCTTTCCGTCGCCGCGACTTTGATGATATTTGTGTCTCGGCTTTTGATTTGTTACCCGCGCCTACCGAATCAAGTCTCAGGAAGTTGCACGGAGTCGGTCATAACAAAACAGATCGTGTCCGTACAGCCATTCAACGTAATGCGTTTGGGTCTCACCGCGGTCGTGAGGAGGTGCTTCACTATGCAGTTGTACCTGAACCTTCAGTATTCAACCATGAATGTCGTCCCAAGTGTGTCTTTCACTTGAGTCTTTCCAGTATCTGACTTTAAGCGTGCTAATGTCGACGTTTGAATTACTAACGACGTACGAATCACGCAGTTCGGCTTTCTATTTCGATGATAAAACCCTGCGAGTCTACGCACACGCCGTTCGGGACATTGCCTTAGGGGAAGAGATTACGATTGCGTGTACCTAACACTTCACTTCTTCCGTCTCAGTACCGCAGCTATCTTTCTGACAACAAATTTCATACTCTAGACCGTGCTATGAAAGCATCCAGAGCGGGCCGACAAGCCGCGATTGCACATTACGGCTTCTCATGTACATGTAGTCATTGTAGCATGTCTGATGAAGAGTCCAGAGCGTCCGACCAGCGCATCGAAGAAATTGACGCCATTCTGGCTCATCTAGACGACTATACCTACAAATCCAAAGCTAATCTAGATACAGCAGATAGGCTGATTCAACTCTACCACGAGGTTTGCATCCGATCCCTTCACACAGCGCATAATATCACACTTTCAAGTACATTTTAATCATACGACTTTCTTTCCACTCATTCAGGAACGGCTTGACGGCCTAATGGCAGAAGCTTATACGCTTGCCACAATGACATACAATTCATTTGGAGAAATAGAAGGAGTTAAGAAACATGCCGCCTTAGCTCGGTCCGCTGGAATCCTTGTCGCTGGACCTGAATGGTCTGAGTTACCTGCAATTGAGGAGTTCTTGGAACATCCTCAGACACATTGGACTTATAACACACGTCAAGGTATGCGTTCGAGGCAGAAATCGAATCAGTTAGAAGAGCCTTGATTAGCGGATATATGCGAATGTTTTGATCATTTGTACATATAGAGATACATATCTACAGAATCCTTCACTGAATCTAGATAGACTTTTGATTGTGAGGCAAACTCTGTCTGCAAAAATGAACAACCTAGACACTGAGTCGATCAAGATTTGGACCCATACGCTTGCAATCATTTCTCTGACTTTTAAGCGTCTCCTGTGCGCACCAGGCTCATTCTTACAAGGATTGAAAATGCCTAGCATACACATAGTCAAGCTTAACAAAACGGTCTCCACGCAGCCGTTTCCGCGCTCTACGTCGTTGATCAAAAGTAGCTAACCAAAACTTCCACCACCACGAGCGACGTCTTGTTCGAATCGCTCGCTCTATCCCGTTAGACAAATATGGCTGGGCGATATCGATTTTGTTGAGTCGGCTGATTTGAGGATTGTCATCTTACAGCTCAGCCCACTTACTCCAGATGTTGAAGCCCACTGCCAGTCATAATTGAGCTGGAGTTGGAGAATATTGCTCGTGTGCCATCTGAGCTTTGATGTGTTTGTTTGTATGAAAACTGATACGAGGCTGTGATCGGAGGGCTGCGTAACTTGAAGGATATAAATGTTTGAGTCATGACCAACCGTAGTGCGACTAGGCCAAAATGAAGTAAGCATTTACACTAGTGGGACGATTTGAAAGTCAACGCTGAGCTTCCCATGGTTCAGATGAGAAATGTAAAACCTCTTGTGTCCTTTGATCGCACCTCTTTCCCATTTCTTCTTCCCGAATCCCATCAATCAAGCCCAATAATCCACCGAACCCATCAGTTTGATCAGCATATCACACAGCACTTCCGAACACACACAACCAGTTACCTGACATGGTAGCCTCTTTGAATGCCCAACTCACATACATCACGGTCGGCTGTGTCTTGTCCCAAGTTTATTGTGGATACCCATCACATCAACCTCGCCTTGACACACTTCGAAGTCCAGTACCTCCGCTGAATACTTTTGACACCTCACCGGCCCCGCGAATCTGCAATGCTAGGCAGGCGCGTCTCGACTCCTTTCAAAGTCCAGTACCTCCCCTGAATATTTTCGGCATCTCACCGGCCCCACAACCCTATGTGTGTAATGCTATCCAGCCACGTCTCGACTCCCTTCGAAGTCCAGTCCATTCGCTCGATGTTTTTGGCACCACAGTCCTTTCGCTAGATCTTTATGGTTCCACATCAAGTCCACAATCTTGTATGTGTGATGCTACTCAGTCTCGCCCCGAATCCTTGCGAAGTCCAGTCGTGCCTTTTATGGACGTTCTTGGCACCACGCCCGGCCAGCAATCCTATATGTGCAATGCCACCGATTTAATCGCCCCAACCACTCCAACCAAAAGCATATCGGAGTCACGTCAGCTCCCGAAGATAGGGAACTTCGCACAGCACGAATGCTTCGAAAATAGTTTTCCAGGCGAAGAAGAGCATTGTCTTTACGTTGACACCGATTTCTCTGACGGAAGAGGGATTTCGATTTTCACTCGACCATCAATCCTCAGAGATGAGATTTCTCAGCTTCCGGTCTTCAACTCGAACTCCAATGTGGTCACCAAAGCAGACCGCGCATCAGTGCCCTTCGCCATCACACCGCTCCCTGGCAAAGGTAATGGTGCACTTGCTACTCGCGTGATCTCCAAAGGCGAATTGATCATTTCAGACCATGCTGCTACTGTCATCGACATGGAAACATCGGCTTACAATCGCCAAAACTTTGATGATATCTGTGTATTAGCTTTTGATCTGCTACCCTACTCCACTCAATCACGCCTTCGAAAGTTGGATTCCGTTGGCCATACCAGAGCAGCTCTTGTCCAATCAGCAATCGAACGTAACGCGTTTGAAAGCCATCACGGTGGCGACGAGCGTGTCCTTCACTATGCAGTTGTACCTGAACCCTCGATATTCAACCACGAATGCCGTCCCAAGTTTGTGCTTCTTTTCCCTTTTTCCTATCATCCACTCACCGCATGATGATACCGTGAGTTGAATTACTAACAACTTATCCACCACGCAGCTCCGCTTTCTATTTTGATAATAAAACCATGCGTGTTTACATATCCGCCGTTCGGGACATCGCACTGGGTGAAGAAATCACGATCGCATGTATGTAACACTTCTTCAGTTCGAGTCACTAATGCTTTTCTGACAGGAACATCCAAACTTTAGATCGTGACATGAAGGCTTCCAAAGCGGAGCGACAAACAGCAATCGCACACTATGGTTTCAAATGCACATGTACTCATTGTAGCATGTCTCCCAAAGAGTCCAGAGCGTCCGATCAACGCATCTACGAAATTGACACCATCATGGGTCATTTAACCGATTTTAACAACGACTCCAAAGCCAATCTAGACATGGCCGATAGGTTGATCCAACTTTACCGCGAGGTTAGCATTCGATTTCCTCACCTCGTTTGATGCCGCATTTTCACATTGGTGATTTGAGATTCACATGACTTTCTCTCCGCTCATTTCAGGAACGATTTGACGACAGAATTGCAGAAGCTTATACGCTTGCTACAATGACATACAATTCATTTGGAAAAATATCAGAAGTTAAGAAGTATGCCAACCTAGCTCGATCCGCTGGACTCATCGCAGCTGGACCAGCTTGGTCTGAGCTACCTGCAATTGAAGAGATGCAGAAAGATCCTAAGGCGCATTGGACTCATAACGCGCGTCATGGTATGCGTTCGAGGAATGAGTAAGGGTGTCAAAGACCGGGGATCTATACATATCTTTTCATCATCTGTACCAAGTCTTATGAATTTTAATTTATTGCTCCTTGATATCATTTTCATGGATTGTAAGATCACATGGTAATAGTATTATCTAACAAACTTTTCACATCAACAGACTTTCAACTTTGTCATCATCATACCCAATGAATCTTTTGTAGCGATGCCAATGTATGCATTTCTTCGTCTGTTTTTTTTGCAACGTCAAATTTAATAGCATATAATGATCTAAAATGTATGCCTGAAATAACAATCACGTATAGCTTGAAGCAAGGATTCCCCTTCCAGTAATGAAAAAACCCTACGTTAGAGCTTCAAATTGATTGTGATATTCACCAACATCTCGCAATAGAAAATGTCACTTGAGCTGTTCAACTCTAAAAACTGAGCTTTGTAGGAGAGCCCACAAGTTGAAGACCAAGCTACCTTTTTTTATCCTTCCCCGTGCTGCCTTGGTATCATTAATTTTACCTGATCAGCTCCCAGAAAATGAAAGAAAAATTTCAAAGCTAGGAGGGGAAGTAAGAGAGAATCATGAAGAGTCCGGTAGATGATATTAAGTAAAAGATACCATCGAGTTAACTGATGTTAAGTAATCCTATTGGCTTGATTGAATCCACCCTTAGAAATCTTTATAATGAAAAATACAGTACTATATACATATGATGGTGGTCATACTGCATTGCAGGATTCCCGAGCTTTCACTTGTCGTTTGTTCGAATGGATTTTCGTTTGCTCACAGCCCTTGACACAAAATGTTGTTGGCTCATGTGACAAAATGGTGTTTAAAGTCCGATAAAATTGCCATTCTTTTCATGTTCGAACTTCTTCAAAATCGAACGCTCCTCGTTGAGAAATGGCGAGATTCGACTTGGATGTCTGAAAGTAAGAGCCCGGCCCATAGTCTTAGATAGTACGGCTGTGGCCATGACTAGATTCATTCTCCGTGATGAAATGTTCATGAATCTCGTTGGTTCAGACCAAGACGCTTGCATTGCTGGCTCAAGTCGCGGTCCTATGTAGATTCATGCGATGGGGTCATGTTGGGAATGGGAGATATTCATGATGGGAGTCGGATGGATCAGGATGGATCTTCTTTGGTCATTTAGACGCGCACCTATTGAAATTTGACATACACCGTCACGGTCCGGCGCACAGTTGAACGCCCAGATTTGACCAAAACCGGCGAATTCTGATTTCTTCCAAATAAATATCAACTTCATCTCAACTTGTACAACAGCAACAACTACCACCACCACAACATTCCACCTCTTGAGAAATTCGAATGACATGTTGAACTGGTCGAATTTCCAATCAACTTCATCTCATTAACATTCAAGATCACAAACCTCAATCATCGCAACTTTTGATCTGTTATTCCTCTTATCATGCATTGTACCGCTTATTTTGTTTTCGCAGTCACTTGGATTGTCATCAGTTCGGTTAGTTTCATCTTCTCTTCTCAAGTTCGATGATCAAAAGTACCAAAAAAACTGACTTATTCCCATCTTCTTTCGATAGTTCTCATACGGTTATCATATTTCAGCTCTCAACTCTGCTCAAGATGCAATCACTTGCAGATGGCATGGTTCTTCAACTCCATTCGTTAAAACTCACATGCTACCTCTAACTTCATGTTTGGTCATGTCTGATAACCTTTTCGGACTCTTAACATCTTCATATACTATCGGTGGTTTTGGTGGTTCTTTATATGCGTCACATTTGGCCAATTCTCAAGGTCGAAAACGTTCGATTCTCATTGGCTCATTGCTGATCGCTTTCGGTTCAGCACTTATGGCTCTTGCTACTTCTTTCATTCCTATGTTGTTGGGAAGGACGATCATTGGTCTTGGATGTGGTCTCAATACTGTCCTAGTACCTATATACCTAAGTGAAATTTCACCAGTCGCCATCAGAGGATCTATAGGTGTAATGAATCAACTTGGAATTGTTATCGGGATCTTAGCTAGTCAAGTTGTTAGCATGCCTCTTGCTAAACCGTTTATCTGGAGATGGATCTTCGTCATCAGTGGATGTATCAATGCCTTCCAACTTGTAATTGCACCTCTAATGATCGAAAGTCCCAAATGGGCTATGGAACAAGAAGCAAAACGTGCTGGTATTCTACCTACTCAATCAACTTTACGAAACGAATCTGAAGATCTCACTGAGGCGCAAGGACCTAACGATGATGTCGAAAGACAAGGGTTATTAAGTCACCACGATTCACCCGGTGCTAATGAAGTTCATGCCCAGACTTCAACATCTCAAGATGAATTATCCATTTCAGAACTTTTTCGTGAATGGCATCACGATCCGGTTTTAGCTAGCGGATTGAAAGTAGTATTGATCACTCAACTTGCTCAACAACTATCTGGTGTCAAGTAAGCAAACAGTTTTGGTCGATTTGTATTGAGTAAATATGTTAATCTGACCAATTTCATCAAACAGCGCTGTGTTATACTACTCAACTTCTATCATGAAATCTGTCTTACCAACCCAAGCAGCCTATATCTCACTCTTCATCACCTTCATAAACGTCTTGATGACCTTCCCACCGATTTTCTTAATCGATCGAACCGGAAGAAAACCATTATTAATAATCTCAGCAGGAATGATGGCCTTGACATCTTGTATCCTTGGATTTTCGATTAATATTGGATTTGCTCAACTTTCTAGTTTGGCTATAGTCTGTTTTGTGGCTAGCTTTAGTCTGGGTTTAGGTCCGATTCCTTTTGTGATCCTTAGTGAACTGGTACCTACACATGCGATTTCTGCTACTGGAGGCCTTGCATTAGGTGTCAATTGGGCTGCCAATTTTGCGGTTGTAAGTCACTTTCTTTGAATCTGTTGACTCTTTTCGAGGCTTATCTGATGAGCGTGTATCTATTCATATGTAGGGTCTCTTGTTTCTGCCTCTTCGTAACGCTATGGCCTCACCTGATGGTGATGGTGATGGTAATGTTTTCTTTGTCTTCACTATCATTTCCACCATAGCTACTCTCCTTATTGCCCGCAACTATCGGTGAACTCTTATAACAGACCAGCTCGAGACTCTTCAAAAAATCGTCCATTGTTGTAACTTATTTATCACTTCTTCGACATTCTTATGACTTGTATGTGACTTCTTTATTTGTCTTTCACTCTTAGCTGATCACTTCAAAAGTTTTTCTAGTTGCTCTTTTTTTATTCATTCTGTTTCTGTAACTCGTCTGCTTCAAAAAAAGTATTTTTTTATCCTTACTTACATTTTAGAGAAATTATCTTGTCTTTCTTTTTTTTTCTCATCTTTTTCAAAAATTCCAGGACTTTTAGCTACCTTACTTTGCTTGACATGTTCATGAAGTGTTCGGTGTTACACATTGATAGAGATTGAGACAAAATTCAAGAAGTAAATTGCTATTTAACTCATGAGAGGAGAAGCAAAGCAATAAAAGAAACGTGAGAAAAAGAACACCTGATTTGAACCAGTGTATTGACCGGTATATATAATACAAAAAATGTCCTTTTGTGCTACTAATTGACCAACTGCATGTGTGTCACTGGATGGTCAAGAAAAATGATGTCTAATTCTTTTCACAGTGCTTTTCTTTGTCATATGCTTCAAAAGTTTTCAGTGGTAGATATTGTAGTTTACCACGATCATGGAGACAACCAATGCGATCGATCTCAACCACTTACTCTATGAATCAAGACTAAAATTGGTAGGTTGATTGTAAACTTCGTTTTCTCCTCCCAGGCTCAATCTCGTCGATAGTTGCAGCAGTTGCTCCATCACATAGAGCTTGATTTGCAGCTGGTATTTTGAATTTACTCACGGCAGCGGGATTCATGACGAACACCCCTGCAAATCCTGCACCTAAATGCCATCCAATATGACAATGTAAGATCCAAACACCTGTCAAAGGATTCGGTCAGATTATCAGATAGGCCAATCGTTTTTGAGTAGGACGGTCACCAACGCATACAACGAGGTACCACATACCTGGATTGTCGGCAACTATCCTTACTACAATCAGGCGTATGGTGAAGTAGTTCAAACATACATTCTGTTAGAGACTTATCAGGTACGTATATCAACCAGACAACCACTCACAAACTCTGTACGTTCCACCTGGGACGACTTGAGTCTATCATGAGGAGGGAATCAAAAGATGTCATTTATAAGCGACCTAACGGGTTTCTATGCTCAGACTCTTCAAAACTCACGTCTCTTCTCAATGGATTGGTGGTATTATAGGTCAAGGTAGCAGCGGCTGTGTCATTGAGTGCACCAGTTCCGGTGGCTACGGTTTTGGCCTACGTGAAGTGTATTGATTCAACGAGGGAAGACTACAGCACAAAGGTTGAAGTATGCACGTACATCAACTCCATCTACAAACCCTCAAAAAACACGTTAGCATATACAAAACCTAAATCACATTGTAAGATGATCGAGACTCACGAAGATGGTATGGATGGTTAATTGCAGCATCGAGATTGTTGATAACAATATCATAACAACCATTGGTTTCCATTGTGAATGCAGCTACTTCTGAGGTATTAAGGAATCCTCTTCCTCCTGAAGTCATTTCACTTAACAAAGGTTGATAAACATAAGCTTGAAAAAGATAAAATCCGATCAACACAGATTAGTACTCAAAGAAAAATAGTAAGAAAGTGGAAATGGGGTTTCAAATGCTCACTTAACCAGGTTGTATCATTGACGAAAAATCGACCTTTACTGACAGTAGTTGAGTTTTCAGTCGTGGTTGAAAATCCAAAACTTGACTCATAGAATAGCTGAAAAAACCAATCCAATTGATTAACTTTGCGTGGACAAGCTGAACTTGTATATCATACTGAGAAACGTAACTTACGCGTCCCAAAACATTTGTGCATGCGTTTTCTGGGACTAATGGTACTAAAGTGTTAGGATCTAGGTCAAGACAATCTCCAGAAACACTATCAGACCAATCAGTGGAAGTTGGAGTGGTCACTGTCGTATTGTAAGTAGTGGCTGTAGCGTTCACTACTCTGATTATCGCTCGAGCGGTTGCTGCCTGTCCATCCATTCCAGGTGCAACTTGAAAACACAGGGAAAATAAATCACAGGCAGTTAAGAAACAGAAAGCTCTTTTTGAAGAAAGGGATTGTACTTACGCCAAGCGACTGAGATTTTAGAAAAATCAAATTCAAAACACAATCTTCAGAAGGTTCCCATAAAGAGTTTATCAGGATAATGAGAAATCTTACAGCAATCGGTGTCCATGGCTGCTCTAAGATAGAAAGTACTTCCAACGGTATCATTACTTAAATCAAGAATTGCACTGTACCTCTCTCCATTATCTAAACACGTCGTAGAAACCTCAAAGGTCAAACTTCAGAGTAATGCTGAGAATCAAATCATGTAACTTACGAAAAGGAACTCGATGAACCGCCGTTGGTCCGGCCACTCCAGTTGCATCTGCCTCTGTCACATTGAGTGTATGCTGATCAACAGATACTCGAAAAAGAGCATGACTTCCACCTTCTATGAGGCGAAGTCTAGTTTTCCGACCAGCATGAAGATCAAATGTCAAATACTTTGTTGGGGTTGTACAAGTTGACCCAGGATCGGCATTCGTGCAATCAAAATATCCGATACCATTGATCAAAGCCGAATTCTATTCGCTCAAGTAGATCACAATCAGGTCTCCGTACTTTGAAAAAACAGGGATAGAGAGCTGCATATGGCTTACAGGAGATCTTGAAGCGGTTAAGATCAGAAAAAAATTGTAAGCTTCATTTTTGTAAACCTCAACCGGGAATTCTGATGCTTACGGTGCTGCAACTGAACCCAGGTAACCTTCGGGTGAAAGTTGCCCATCCAAAATTAGGGCGCTCAAGCTATTTGGAAAAACAATCCCAGAGGAAAATACTATCGATCAAGATATTTCGCGTGAAGATGAGATCTGAGAATCCTACTTATGATACCAATCGCTGTGGAAGGAAGGAATGTAATTATTATCAGTTATCAAGAAGATCATGCAATTTCGTCGAATTGTAAGAGCTTACTTGATGAACAGTACCACATCTTGATCATAGTCAACTCCTCTTACTAACGGATCATTCACGCTATGAATAATGAGTGGCCCGGCCTACGGAGTTCAAGAATGATGAGCTAGACTACACGCATCCGATTCAGCACAATCTATCCTTACCACACCATCCGCGGCGTAGTTCTACAAGGAAAAACACCATATTAGGACACAATGTAATATAAGATGAAAACATTGATCTCATACCTGAGAGTGCGCATGATACCCTTTCAAAGATGCCGGAAAGTCAATGTTAATCTAGGCTGCGAACAAATCAATGATTTCCACTCACAGAATGTGCCATATTGTCCGCTGACGGTGAAAGTATAGGTAAAAGTGCTACCAGCTGGAATCGGGCACTGGGTCACACCAGTAACACCATCCATCCACCCCGTGCCGTTTTGGTGGAGCTAAGATTGAACCGTGTTGTCAGCAAGATTTCACAGTCATATCGATGTAAACAGGAAATTCCCTTATGCCGTGCCAATGAATAGAAACAGAGCCTTTCAAGGTATTGGTAACTACAATATTGATTGTATCCCTTTGATGGAAGACAAAACAGCACGTTAGGAGCTTCCAGACAATTCGAACGGACAAACAATAGATAGCTACTCACCCTTCCTGCAAAGCCAAGAGGGAGACAGTTTTGCATATTCTGTCAGCTCTGAGCTCAAAAACATCGCAACCTGATGAGGAAGACAGCGTAAGTTGAAACACTCACATTGGCTTCTATCAAAGGCCCAGGAAACTGAGAATTTATTACAAGCATATTTCTAAATGATATCATTAGATCTTTCAGTTCCTTTGCACGCATAACTATACTATTCAAATGAACCTCACCTGGTATAACCATCTGGAGCAGCCGTTTGATTACTTCAAATCGCAGTCTTAGTAAGACACTCACTACAATATGGTATCAATGAATTATATATTCTTGTACTGGACTTACCTCAGAGTCCACCTGTAGTTCCTGGTTTGAGCCTTCGAGGTAATGTCGAAGTCTGCGGAGAGATAAAGCTCTGAAGAGTTGACCTTCACAGCAGCATAGCAAGATGAGAAGAGACTGAAGAGTAATGAAGAAACTAAAATAATTCTCTGGTATGTTCAACTATTGGCTGACATCGTCATTTTTTAGGTATCACAAATAGAAACTATCAAAGGCTTTATATGGCCTTTTACCACTTATCACACAGTAAATCTAGGATATATGGTATTTTGGAAGAAGGCTAGTTCAAGGTAATGGTGCCATATATAGCTTTGGGAACAGCTCAGGCCGGTAACTCACTGCACGGCTTGGAAACGATTTCGTTGGCAAAATCCCCTCAGTGCAAACACGCGTCGCTGCACGCCGACGATATTCGCCGAGAAGATCCATGCAACAGGTGCCCAAAGGAACGACGGCACCTGTGTAGTTCCATAGAAACTCAGGGATGAACGGAAAGAGGCACAACCCGGTACCGGAATAGAGGTACCGGACCAAAAGACATACAGTCTTGTGGAGACTTCGAAAAGGTGGAATTTCAAATTTGAAATTCTACCTTAGAGAAAACTTTCCTTCATCCCATCTTCACCCCTGAAACTATTCTACCCGCATGTTTCAAAAGAACTAACGCAAATCTCTGTATGGAAACGCCAGAGATGAAAATTGGAAAATCCGTTTCTGGGCAGAACGGATTCGGATGATGTGAAATGTAATGTCAATATGACGATGACCGCGAGATTTCAGAAAATTGTGACATCACACTGTTCTTGGATTGACGCTATGTGACAACGGTCTGCTACCTACCCGAGGACCGCGAAGCGGTCCCAAAGTGACATCCCGCGCTGGCACATACCGGCTGAAAATGGTCAACACTGCTTATTCGCTGAGCTGGCCGCCGTGAGGGCGAACTCAATGCCGAAGCAAACACCGGCGTGTACGCCAAAGTGCAGACACGACATGAACGCTGTTTAGCCCATCTCCAGTCCCACCGGAACCGTTCTATGACATTGATACTACTTGATCATGGTATGTTAATGCTCAGCGCGGAGGCCGCACCGCGGCATTCCGGCCTCAAGGGCCAATTGGTCAAATCTCCAAGGCGAGCTGCAGATTCAGAGGCCCCATTTCAGACGCAACGTCGCGGATGGAACCTTGATGAGGGGGATCCATCAGTGCCATCAAAGGGTACATCGACAGGGAATCACCGCAAATGATCTGCGCTGAAAACCTGTGTCGTTGCGGCCTCGCATAGACGACACGCGGTTATCGCTCTGCTGAAGTGATTTGACGG